CACCAGGGACTCGGCGGGGAGCGACCGGTGGCCCCCGCCGAGCTGCGGCTGCGGGAGCAGCTCGATCGACAGCTGCGCCTCGACGAGCCGCCGACGACCCGCGACGCGGCAGTGTCCATGGGCCAGGTCGCGCACACCGCACACCAGCTGGCCACCGTCGCAGGGCACACCGCCAAGCACGAGCAGGCGGGGCAAGACGCGCACGCCACCGTCGTCGAGGCCGAGTCGGAGTCGCACATCCCCGAGTGGAAAAAGGTGCTGCCCCTCGACAAGGAGCTGCGCGCCTACCTAGTCTGGCGGTGGGCAAAGGAGGGCATCGAGTGGCACCCCGAGCGCGGGCCGGTGTCGGTACCACACAAGGCCTGAGGCGAGACGTTGGTAGGTCAGGCGACGGGCAAAATTGCAGCCCTCGTGAGACAAGAGCGGCAGACTTGGGAAGTGAAAACGCATCGATGCCTGTAGCGTCCTTCGATCGGCAGAGTTGTTGGTGTGTGAAATCGTTGACGTTTGAGGAGTCATCGCACTCGGTACCCTTGAAAAGGATGGCCTGAAGCGCCGTGAGATGGCGGTCCGTGGCAGCCGTAAGGCCGACAGTGTCTATGCCAGGCTTAACGGCCGACGACGGCGGCGACACGCAGACTGTAGGGCAACGGTCCGCGGCCGACGGCGCTGCCGGCGTCCTATTCGGTCTTGTGCGCCTGCCTCTCCATGAGCTTCTTCCTCGCCTCGAGCACCATCCGACGCTTTCGCTCCTCTAGCCGCTTGGCCCGCTCCTCTGGCGAGGGGGCCCAGCCCTGCGCGTCGCCATCGCCTTTGTCGGCCGTCGTATCGAGGGCGTCGCCGTCGGTGCCGAAACGGGATATCAAGGTGGTGCGCTTGACCGAGCTCGACGACGAAGACGATGCCGACGCCCTTGCGTTGGCACCGCGCGCAGCAGCGTTGGCGGCCTGCCCCGCTGCTGCTGCTGCTGGCTCGTGAGTGGCCGTTGTGGCCGCTGCATCGGATCTGCTTGGCGTGTTGGACGTTGCTGTTCCGAAGAATCCGGCAGGTGGCTGACCCGGTAGTCCAAAAGCGGAGGCGAGGGACGGAGGGCAGAGCCACGTCGGGTCACGAGAGGAATCAGCGATCAGCATCGACGGCGATGGAGCTGCCCTGCACGTGCTCACCGTCGGCAGTCCGCCTTCGTTGAGGATGCGGTCGCAGGTGGCCTCGGCACTGCCGGACCGTTGTAGGTCGTAGCGGATCGAGGCCTCGGGGACGTGGGGGAAGAGGGTCTTTACGGCGTCGACCTGGGGCCAGGTAGGGCGAAGGGCGGCGCGTGGGGCGTGAGCAAGCGTCGGACGGGATCGAATGACCAGCGCATTGCAGTCTCACCATGTGCTGCGGTACCTGACGGGCCCGCGCCGCATCTAGACTGGGGCCGGCGGCATTGGCGTTGCCATTCGAGGACGAGCTGCCGCCTGGGTTGGAGGCGAGGGTGCAGGCGAGGGGAACCGAGAGGCAGGTAAGCGCGCAGCAGAGGAGGTGGAGCGAGAGGGGTCGAAATGGGACGTACCAAAGGCGAAGCGGAGGATGAGCCAGAGGACGGCGATGGCGAGAAAGGCGCCGAGGCTGTCGTTCATTGCGGGCGGGGTGGGGGTTTGTGCCCGAGGTGGGGACTGTGCGGTCGGGTGTCTAGATGCGTGAGATGGAGTGGCGCTTGCGACTGAGTGGCGTGGTGGTGGAGAATCAATCGACAGGCATGTAGGCCGAGGGGAAGGTGGTGGTGGAGGAGAATGAGGAGCGGTGGTGGGGAGAAGGTAGAAAGAAGGTGGTGGCTGATGCGAGGGTCGCCGAGGTCGGACGAGCCGCCGGCGCCGCCTGGGAGAGGGTTGCTTGGCTTGCCAGGCCTTGCTTGGCGTGCTGGCCGGCCGGGCACAGCGTGGCTGCGCTGGCTCGCTCTCAGCTGGCCCCTCGCAGGCGCACCAAAGTGGAGCAGGGAGCAGGCAGGCTGCCAGGCAGCCAGGCAGCCAAGCCAGCCAGGGTCAGTCGGACCCACCGGCGGCCGCACATCGCATCGGAATTTTGCCGCCTGCACCTCTTGCCACCACCACCGCCACCGCCACTGCTACTACCACACCCACCACCACCTCTCGCCGCAGCTCTCCACTGCGCTCCAGTGAGCAGGGCTTGAACCGCGCTTCGCTGTCACCGCTCCTTGCTTCTTCCAGGCCGCACACGCAGCCGCCCACACAGGGTGACAAGAGCCGACCTAGATCCGGTCCGACTCGCGTGCCCGCGCCACCTCTCGCAACCTCTTCGGTCTCGAAGCGCCACGCCGCTCGCCCTCGAGCGCCATGTCCGAGTTCCAAAAGGACTCGCTATCGCTCGAAGAGACCAACAAGCTCCGTATCAAGCTCGGCCTCAAACCCCTCACCGACGATGGCCCTGCCGACAGCAAGCCCGCTGCCGACGGCGACGACGGCGCCAAGTCTGCACGCCAGGTCGACGAAGACGCAGAGGCGGAGCGCAGGCATATCGAGCAGATAGAGCGCAACAGGCGCGAAAAGGAGCAACAGGAGATCCGCGACCGCATCGCAAAGGCCCAGAACAAGCGCGAGCTCGCCCGAAAGCTTCAAGGGCCCACGCTGGCCGACCCCGAGCCAGCGGAAGCATCAGGACCATCCTCGTCGGCGGCACCCGGCTCGCAGGACACGCTCAAGTGGCTCAGGCAGGCCAAGAAGCGTGCAAAGGAGAATGCCGCCAAGCTCGCCCGGGAGCTCCAGGAGCAGGAGACTCAGGCCCAGGCCGTCTACGACGAGTCGGACCTCGCAGGCCTCAAGGTGGCCCACGACGTCGACGACTTTGACGACGGCGACGAGCGCATCCTCACGCTCAGGGACTCGGGCGTTCTCGACGATGCCGACGACGAGCTGATGGACTACGACCTCGACCAGGCCGAGCGCGATCGCATCAACCAGGAGCGCAAAAAGGCGCGCAGGGGCTACACCGGCCTCGACGACGACCAGTTCGACGAGGCAAACGTCGGGCGGCGGCGCGGCGTGCTGTCCAAGTACGACGCCGACATCGCCGACGACGGGCTGACGCGCTCCAGCGAGGGCGGCTTCCGCCTCGGTGCAGGCGCCACCAAGCCCTCGAACCGAAAGGAGCTCGCGCGCAGGGAACTCGAGCAGGAGGCGGCCGCTGCCAACAAGCAGCTGCTCTCGCTCGACTACGCCAAGAACCAAGAGGTGTCCGACTACCTCCAGGAGGGCGACGTAGGCTTCAAAAAGCCCAAGGCCAAGAAGCGCAAAAAGGCCGCGCGCGTCAAGCTGGACCTTGACGACCCCGAGGACGCCGCAGGCCCGTCGATCTCCGCACCGGTCCGCGCCGGCGCCGATGCCGATGCCAACGGCGATGTCGAGATGGGGTCAGAGCCTGCCGCCGAGGTGCGGAAGCCTCGCGCGCGCGACGTCACCGAAAACTTCGTCGATGACGACGAGCTGCAGGCCAGCCTGGCCAAGGTGCGGCGGCAGAAGGCCAAGCGCACCTTTGTCAAGATGACGCCCGAGATGATTGCCAAGAATTTGGCGGCACAGCGGGCGGCCGAGGAGGCGGAGCGCGCAGCGAGCGGGAGCCCCTACCCAGGCGACGCCTCGACGTCTGCGGCGGTTGCGGGCGTCAAAGAAGAGGAGGAACCCGCCGGCGGGCTCACGTTTGACAGCACCAGCGAGTTTGTCCGGACGATCGGCCACCGTCAGGCGGCAGAGCAGGCTGACGAGGACAGCCGGCGCAGGCGGCTTGCGGCCCTTAAGCGGGAGTCTATCAGCGCGGAACCGGGGCTGGCGTCAGCGCCGAGCGCATCGGCAGCGACCAACGGCGTCGTGACCATCAAGAAGGAGGAGTCGGAGGATGTCGATTTTGGCGATCCAGCGGAGGAGTATGAGGCGGCGAGGATGGCGGCCGAGGGCGCCAGTAGCGGTAGCGGTGCGGACGCTGCTGCTACCGGCAAGGCCGGCTCGCCCGTCGCGGACCCTCTGGCCGGTCTGCCGCCGGCGGAGCCCAGCGTGTCGATGGGCGTGGCCGGTACGCTGGCGTTGCTGCGCAACCAGGGCATGCTGCCGACGATCTCGGCCGAGGAAAAGGCGCGGGAGCGACAGCAACAAGAGTACGACCGGTGGCTGGCGCAGCGGCGGCAGGAGGAGCAGCTGCGCGAGCTGGAGCGCAAGATGTCCAAGGCGCAGGGCTCGGCCAAGGACCAGGCGACACGCGAGTACGAGAACCGCAAGCGCGAGCTCGACGAGGCTCGGTCGGCGCAGGACCGCTTCAAGGATTACAAGCCGGACGTTGACATCCAGTACCACGACGAGTTTGGGCGCCAGCTCACCCCGCACGAGGCGTGGAAGCAGCTCTCGCACGTCTTCCACGGCAAGAAGCCGGGCGCCAAGAAGATCGAGAAGCGGCTCAAGAAGATCGAGGACGAGAAAAAGCGCCAGAGGGCGTCGGCGGGCGACACCCCCTCGGGAATGCTGGCGGCGTTCCAGAGCCGGGCGGAGCGGACCGGCCAGGCGCACATGGTGCTCAGCGTCGGCAGCCGTGGCAGCGCGCCGTCGGACCTCGCCCTGCTCGGGCCCAACACGGTCTCGGCGTCGACGTCGGCTGCGGCGGCGGGCGGTGCAGGAAAGGGCAAGAAGCGGGCGACGTCGGCAGTCAGCCCGACGCTCGACGGCAGCCGGAGCACCTCGGTCACGGCCCTCGACGATGGAACCATGTCGAGCGCCACCACCACCGGCGGCGACGGCGGCGAGCAGTCGGTCGCGACGTCGAGGCGCGGCTGGGCCGCCGTCGGCGCGCCTTCCTCTGGAGCTGCGGGATCGTCGCTGAAGCGGTCGTTTTCGCCCGCCGTGGCGCCGAGCCCCGGCGGCGCACCATCCTCCTCGGCGCAGCCGTTCCGCATCAACTTGTCTTCTGGCGGCGGCGGCGGTGGTGGATCGACGAAGCGGAAGGCCGAGGACGACGAGTAGGGAGGAGCGGGGCTGGGGCCTCTTTGGTACCTACATATAGCATGGCGGTATCCGGTTGACGATGCTCAGATGTGGGGCCGAACGCCTGCACAGCATAGGCGTGATCTCAATGCAATCACGGTGGGACACTTTGACACATTGTGCCTTCCCCCACCCCTTCGCTCAGCGAGTGCCCTGGGGCTGGCGTGCCTGTATCTCGGTGACCGTTTCCTGCTTCTTGCCATTGGCAGTCATCAGTCAGCTGCGCTTCGCTGCACACGCCCTTCTGAGTCGGAACAGTCGTAGCGCACGTTGTACTGCTAGCGTCCACGTCGCTTCTTTGCCCCCATCAACAGAAGTGGGTTGCAGTAGTTCACACGTCTCCTCGAGCGGTCGTCTTGGTCGCTGCATCGAGCCTGCTCAACCTTCAAAAAGAGAGGGGATCGCGACTCTCTTTGCCGCTGCCCCCTCCCAACCATCCCCAAGCATAGCCTGGGTCACTTTCTGCCCCCCTCCCACTTCCTCTTCTCCCCCTCTCGTCCCCCATTTTCTGCCACGAGCGCCATGCAGATCAAGCTCAGCCTGTTTGCCACCATCCTTTGGACGACGGCCGGCCTCGTCTGCGGTTGGCAATGCCCCAAGATCGCTCACGATCAAGTCACGCCCATCCCGTCGACTGCAGCCAGGACCCCTCAAGAGCTGGCAGCGGTCCACTTCCAGCCGCGTGTGCACATCGGTGCGTTGACCGCGAACCGCTTCATTTGCCACCCAGGTCCTATGTTGTCCCCCCCGGCCCCTCCCCCTCTGGTCCCCCCCCATCCCCCCTTTCCACCACCGTCCATCGTCAGCCATCGCTTCGAAGGCCGCGACGGGGATCACAGACCCACTGACGAGAGCCGCGCCTTGCTCATCCCACTACCAGGCAACATGTGCCACGTCTATACCGCGGTGACGGCAGACGGCAAGTGCTCTGGCGGCCTCAAGCCCACCGGCGCCCCCTCGGCCGGCTGCAAAGACACGACCAAGGGCCAGATCTATGCGCGTTGGGCCAACTACAATGGTCGTTTCGGCATGATGTACAGCCTCTTCTTCCCAAAGACGAACAACATGCCTGGTGGCGGTTCTCGGTACGACTGTGAGTGTCGTGAATCCTCCTTCGTCGAGGCCGCGTCCTTGTATCGCCAATCTTGATCCCGGCCCGTGTGCGGCCGGACGGGGGTCGGACGTCGAGAACGGTGTAGACTAGACCTGACTAAGAGCGCAACCGACTGCTCTGATGGACGGAGCTCACACTGACAATCTGCCTCGATCTCTTGACGGGCTCTTCAGGGGAGACCATCGTCATTTGGATGGACGATCCTGCCCTCATCACGCAGCCTACGGACCCCAACAAGCCCTATGTGTGGCCCAAAATCACTGGCGTGGCGTGCACCGGCGCCAGGCACTACCGGAGATACAACGCTCCACTCCCCAGCTGGGCCATGGACGGGAGCACCGTCAAGATCCAGTCGGCCAATCAAGGGTAAGTAGTCCGCCATTCTCCGCACAGATGGCGGGCCGATCCACCGGAGGGCATCTCTGACAGTCAGGGGCAAACGCGAATCGTGCGTCGCGCCGGAACAGACTCGGTCCGCAAGGCCTCGACATCACCGACAAGGATGACGGAGATACCCTGCAGATTGTGTTTTACGACTCGATGCCGAGCCAGGCCAAGGACGCCATCAACAATTGGGACTGGGACGGCCAGTGGCCTCCCTTCGGCGAGGACCAGTTTGCCTACCAGCTCGACCTGGCCATGAGCGGCGCAGACTTCAATTAGACCCACCACCGCTGATGTGGTTGGTCGATCATCAGCGTTGCGTTGGGCTGTTCCTGCTGCGTTCCATGGACATGGCCGCCTTCGTCATCTATGATCTTCTTGTTCGACAGTTGAGAAAGCCACCATCCCTTTCCCCTTGTCAGTGGAGCTGATACTTGCCACAAGCTACGAGGGACGACACGACTCAGAGCAACGAGACGCTCCAACACTTGGCGCGACCCATCATCGCGCGGCGCTCTGCTGGTGCTTTGCGCTCTATTTCTGATCTGGGCCCGAAACTGCCTACCGTCTGCCCTCGGAATGTCGACTATGACCTTTCGCCTCATCTCTTGCTCAGCGCGCATGGCTGGTATAAGGCTGTATGTGGACAGTGAGGTACGATCCGTGTCGATGCTGATCCTCGCCCTTTCACGCTGAGCGTCGCCTCGCGCTCAGCTCTGGCTCCTCCGCCCACCGGGAGGCTTTTTGCTGTACCCTCAGCCACTAGCGCCGAATGCAGCGGCGATCAGAGGGTCGGCAATACGGCTTGGGCATGGTGGGACGAGCTGGTCGATCCGTCGTCTGTGGTGGCTCTTCCTCGCTGGGGCGTGGCGCGCCCGTGCGATGGCCCCGACGCCAGGCGCAGGCAAAGCTTCCTTGCCACCTTGCTACGAAGATCAAGAGGTCGCACAGCTGCGGACATCGTGACGCGCTCGGCCATCCCTTCTCGTCGTCCGGTGCTTCACCTCGTTCCTCGTCTGGTGCGATCGAGGAGATGAATCCAGCGCTCCAGGTCCATCCCCTCGCCGCGCACGGAACACGGTGCGCTGCGGGTCGGCGGGTCTGCTGAGCAAAGGTCGGCGCGGAGCCCGAACCCGGCCTTTGCTTGGCGGCAGCTGCGTCGCCGTCGGTGACTTGCTTCTGCTGCGAGGCCTGTCCCGACGGTCGCGGCCTCGACTTGCTGTTGACTGCGCAGCTGGTGATGAGGAGGTAGAGCGCGAGCAGGTGGCCAGCCAGTCGGCCGGCAGCCGAAGACGAGGCGGGGGCGGTGCAGGGAGCGCCGGCCGGCTGACACGTGGCAAAATTCCGAGGCCAGGCCAGGCCAGGCAGCCAGCCAGCAGGGCAGGCAGCCTATGGTCGGCGCCGTTGCCGTGGCTGCGTGCGGGCCTTGGAACGCCGCCGCCCGCGTCGGGGGCGTCCCTCTTTGCCCTTTGTTCCGGCTGCTTGACGCCCGAGAGAGAGGTGAGAGAGCCAAAGGGGTGAGGCTGGTGAGGTCCGATGGCGGACATGCTTTGGGCTGCCATACGACTAGGCTGCATGCTGGCCCTGCCTCGACGAGGCCAGACTGTTGGTCGTCGTCGACGGTGCAGAGGCTACCCGCCTCTCTCTCCACTTGGCCTGCAGCCAGTGTCTATTTTCGACCGAGACTGGTAGAGCGAGAGAGGCGGCGAGGCGCCCACGACGGCTGACGTGCTTGCTTGCTGCAAGATGGCCTGCCTGCGAAGTTCAAGGGCCTGAGCGCAGGCGGGGGCCGCTTGGCTCGGCTTGCTCGCCTGCCTGCTTCAAGCTGGCTTCTTCTTCGACGCTAGCCACCGCCGCCGCCGCCGCCGCCGCCGCCGCCCGCGTCGAGGACCGTTGTGGAGCCCGCTTGCCTGCCTGCCCAAATTTGCTGGCTCCCGCCCCCCGCTCGCAGCTAGTTACCCTGCCTCTGCTGGTTACCACGAGCCCGCCCACCTTCGTCTCATCACCATCAGCATCGACTACCATCGACCCGTATACCCGGCGCTCGCTCCCGCCTTTCCTCGTGACCGCCAGGCTGACTGCTCACCGGGCCATGCCGAGCTAGGCGGCCACCGCGCTCAACCGTCGCATCCTCTCTGCTGTTTCCGTGCCAACCCAACGTGCTCGACCCATCTCTCCCTTTGGGCTTTCGGTCGATCCGACGCCCGTCTCGACGCTCGTCTCGACCCACTCTGCCCTCGATTGATATCGGATCGGGCCCTCCGTCTCGGAACCCCCCCTCCGGCCAAAGCGCGCTTTTGCCAGCAGCAACGAGGCTGGCAACCGTCGCCCCGAACCGCCACGTCCGCACCGGCACTTGTCGCCAGCTCGCCTTTGCGCCCCCCTGGACACAGCCTCCCGCCACGCCCATTGACAAGCGTCGGAAACTGGTGGCACCTCGGCTGCTGGTCAGCTCGAACCGACTCAAATCCTTTTCCCACCCACCCGCGCTCCTTGCTCGCGCCTCCCATCGCTCCACGCACACGTCCCTTGATCTTGCTTCGAGCGGCTCTGTCGATCACCTGTCATCATCCTTGCCTCGTCGCAGCTTGGAGCCACACCTCCGCATCGACCCTAGAGAGAAGTCGGGCGCGGCCCAGTCCTTCCACAAGGACCCACGAGTATGGTGCCGCAACCCCAGCACCTCTCGGCCGGCCAGCGCGGCAGCCAGGCGCGGACCCCATCACCCCTGGCTCGCAATGCTGCTGCAGGGCCAGCCCGTCGACCCGCCGCCCACGCCCTACAGGAGGCCAGCGGTGCCACTCCCAACTTTGAGCTGCCAACCAACCCTATGTTCGCGGACGTCGATCGCTGGGACGCCGAGGCGTCGACCAGCCAGCAACCCTCTACCTCGTCCCCCTTCGACTCGAGGTCCCGATCGGTGCCTCCTCTCGCATTCGACGGCGGCGCATCGCTGTCGGACCGTCGGCAAAAGGCTGCCACCCGCAAGCTCCCTCCAATAGACACGGTGCAGCGGCCCGGGTCAAAGAGGCGCAGCCTCTTTGGCGAATCTGAGAAGCGTCCAGCGAGCCCTCAGTGAGTGCTCGTCCCTCTTGCCGCCTGCGCTGAAATCGTGGAACCCGATCTGACCCTGTCCGCAACCTCCAACGACACACCCCCAACAGCATCACCTCGGCCACGCCCACTAGCGCGAGCCATCACCACGCCGCGCGCGGCGGACCCGTCCAACGGATCGCATCGCCACATGATGACGTTGGCGGTGAGAGTTTCACAATCGAACAGGCGCTCATGCCGCGGCGCAGCTCCACGATGACACCTCCCGTCAGGCAGACGAGCCTCAGCCGTGTCGCCGCCAACACGGCGCACTCGCTCATGGACGCCGTCACCGGCCGGATGTCGCCCGCGGTGCGCCACGGCCACGGCCACAGCCATAGCTCGAAGCTATCGGACCGCGAGAGTATCAGCGACGACGAGGCCGGCAAGGGCCACGGGAAACGGGCAGCGGGCCGCTTCACGCCGACCGTCTACCGCAACCGCAATGAGGCGTTCAGCGCCTACCCTCGCGGCGAAAAGTCGGCAATGGTGTCGTTCCAGGATGACGCCGGGAGCGATGCAAAGTACCCGCACCTGGTGGCCGAGCCGGACGAGCTCGGCGAGGGCTTTGGTGGTCAAACCTCGTGGCGCGCCTCGCTGTCCGAGTCTCGGCGCGCGACACCCGCCGCCTACCGGCCGCGCCCGGGCACGCCGAGGAAGCGAGGCAGCGGAGGGCACGCCGATGATTCGACCGACGTTGTGCTGCCCGCGTCGCAGTCGTCGTCGCACTCGATCCACATCGGCTCGCCCATCGTGGTGCCGCAAGCCCGGCGCGGTGCGATCCGCCTCAAGCCGCGCAGGCGTCGGCGCTCGTCGCGCTCGTCGAGGGCGGACCTGACGTTCAGGCAGCGCTGCTACATGTTTTGTGCCAGCGTCGCGGGCTTCCTGCGGCTGCTGGCCAACCCTGTCGAGGCGGGTCATCGGTTGCGAGAGTGGCTGGTGGACACCAGGATCTACTGGGACGACGCGTTTCGCGATCCGATTACCGGCGCGCGGTGCTGGCGTCCCGCGTGGTTGCAGGCGTACGTGCCGCTTCTCATCTGGCTCGGCATCAGCCTGTCGAGCACGGCCATGGTCATCACGTTCCACACCGAGGTCTTCACCGGCCTTGATCGCTTGGCCGCCTACCTGCAGGAGCTAGGCCTCCGCGGACGGCTGCTACTGGGCTCTCTGATCTTCATCACCACGTTCCGTGAGTCTCGCAGGGATGTTTGCCACTAGGGCCTGCTGAAGCGCAAGTAGCTGGTTTGCTGACCCCCTGTGTGCTCTCCTTGCCTTTGCCCTGCTGCCAAACAGCGCCACTTCCTCTCTACTCGACGCTCATCATCCTATGCGGCTTCTCGTTTGGTCTCTGGCAAGGTTTCATCATCAGCTACATCTCGGCACTCTCTGGTGCCATTGTCGTGTTCCTGCTAAGCCGGTCGCTGCTCAAGGACTGGATGGTCGGGCTGCTCAACCAGAGTGGTGGCCTGAAAAAGGTGCGTGGCTCGGGTGGGCCCCTCATGGCGCTGCACCGAACCTCGATTTGGCTCGCTGACCGTGTGTCGATCTCTTTCGGGTGTCCCGCTGTCGAATCACGGCTCAGGTGGTGCGAGCGATTGAGAAGCAGCCAAAGCTCCTCTTTCTGGTCAGGCTGGCGCCGTACCCGTACAATCTGATGAACACGCTTCTGGCGAGCTCGCAGACGCTGACGCTCAAGACGTACACGACGTGCACGGCGCTGGCGCTACCAAAGCTGCTGGTGCACACGGGCCTGGGCACCTCGATCAAGAACTTTGCGGCCTACAACGGTGTCGAGAACGGCAGCGGCAGCGATGGCGACGCCAACGGCGGCGACGATGACGGCGCCATCGTGTCGCACTCTGCCGAGAGGGTCAAGCAGGTGGCCGGCTTCGTCGGCGTTGGCCTCTGCATTGGCATCTTCATCTACCTGCTGCAGGTGGCCCGCAAGGCGGTCGATGAGCTCGACGACGAAGGCTGCGACGACGGATGCGACGACGGCGAGGCCTCGGATCTGGGCGAGTCGGACGACCTGCTTTCCGGAGACTCGGGCGACGAGGGCGGCGGCGGTCAAGCCAGGGAGAGCGACGGGGTCGGGATGGACATGCGGGAGCGGTACGGGCCGGGCAGCCAGGGCTTCCGCAACGGCTATGCTCCGATCCTGGGCTCGGCCGAGGAGCGCCTGCGCGAGCAGATGCGCCACTCTGTGGTGTCATTTGAACACCCGCACTCGTCGCACTCGATGGAGGACGTGGGCAGCGCCGGCGGCAGCGGCGGCGGACCATCGATCGACCTGGCCGAAAAGATCGCCGAAATGGAGGCGCACGCCGAAGGCATGGGGCTGGAGGGCGTGTCGGGTAGCCAGGCCGATGGCGGCGGCGTCGGCGTCGGCGGCCTGCCCGACTGGCTCCACGACGCCGAGTCGCCGTCGAGGAGCGACTATTCCGAAGACGAGAGGCGCGGGTAGCTTGGGTGACGACGGAGCGGGCCCGCCAGGCGGTCGCGCCGTGGCAGGGGCCCGTGAAGACGACCAACGGCATCGTACGTCTTCGAGCAGTGTCGGCCTTCTTGTCTTCCCTTCTGTTGTCTTGTCCCTACGCGCAGTCTCTGGCTGCCATGGCACGCTAGCCGGGGCGTTTGCTGTATATAGCCCAATTCTGGCGCTCGACATCTGTCCTCCAACATACATGTGCTCTTGCTCTGCGCTCGATCCAGACGTTGGGGATGTCTCTCTACGTAGCCTGTTCGTCGCCCGAACCGCATCGCTCGCATCGCATCGCATCGCATCGCATCGTCGCCAGGTCGAGGGCTTGACGAGAGGGAAGTGACCGGCTGCGTTGGTGCAGCTGGCCAGTTCTTCGGGCCGTGCATGGGACGCGGGAAACGGAACACGGCTTTGGCTTGGCGTGGCCCGGTTGCTTGGCCTGGCCACCCGCCCGCGCAGGCGCCCGCTTGAAGCTTCCAGAAGCTCCTCCACTTTTCGAGCATGGGCCAGGCGTTGCTCGAAGCGGGCGTGGCTCGCCTGGCTGCACATGCCTCAGGCTGGGATGGCTCACTCACCCGCCGACCTCTCTTTGCTTCCCATCCCCACGCACCTCGTTCGTCGCCTCCTTCTCGATCCACGTCGCCACGATCCCTGCTCAGATAAAACCAGCTAGCAGCACGCTCTTCCTTCCTCTGGCACGCCTCACCGCACCACCACATCACACCATAACTCACACACACACACACACACACGCACACTCGACGACCCGTCGCTACCAAGCGCTCTTTCCAGCGCCCTCTCGCGCCCATCCTCATCGCCACGACCACCATCAGAAGCAGCAGGATCCCTCCCTAGCGCATCAGACTCGCCTCAGACTACTATAACCGCCGCACCACCCTCCGCGCCCGCATTCATACCCCGCGCCTCGCACGCATCTCTTCCACGCATCCACCGCACTACCCCTTCCCGCCCGCCATGTCTTCGTACGACTTCACCGACCGCGCGCAGGCCTCGGTCTCGGCTGCCGTCCAGCTGGCCAAGGACCACTCGCATGCCCAGGTGGCGCCGGCTCACCTTGCGTTGGCGCTCCTCACCGACGACACGAGCAACTCGCAGGGCGTCCAGTCGACCAACGAGGCATCGCAGTCGCTCTTCAAGAGCATCTGCTCCAAGGCGGGCGTCGACGCCAAGCTCCTCGAGGACAAGCTGCGCGCCACGCTACGCAAGCTGCCCCAGCAGTCGCCGCCCCCGGACAATATGACGCTCTCGTCGGCCGCCGCCAAGGTGCTCAAGGAGGCAGAGAACCAGAAAAACACGCAGCGCGACGCCTACATCGCCCAAGACCACATCCTCCTCGCCCTCATCGACGACGCCGGCATCAAGCAGGCGCTCAAGGACGCTGGTCTCTCCAACGAACAGCTCATCAAGACGGCCATCACCCAGTCCCGCGGCGGCCGCCACATCGACAGCAAGAGCGCCGAGGCGGGCTACGACGCCCTCGGCAAGTACTGCACCGACCTCACCGCTCTCGCCTCTGAGGGCTCCCTCGACCCCGTCATTGGCCGCGACAACGAGATCCGCCGCGCCGTCCGCGTCCTCTCGCGCCGCACCAAGAACAACGCCGTCCTGATCGGCAGCCCGGGCGTGGGCAAGACGGCCATCGTCGAGGGCCTCGCCCAGCGCGTCGTCGACCGCGACGTGCCGCCCAACCTGCTCGGCAAGATCCTCAGCCTCGACATGGGCGCCCTCATGGCCGGCGCAAAGTACAAGGGAGAGTACGAGGAGCGCGTCAAGTCGGTCCTCTCGGACATCGAAAAGATGACGGCCGACGGCACGCCATGCATCCTGTTTATCGACGAGATGCACCTCCTCATGGCGGGCCAGGGCAGCGACTCGGGCATGGATGCCGCCAACCTGCTCAAGCCGATGCTGGCGCGCGGCAAGCTGCGCGTCATTGGCTGCACCACGGCCAACGAGTACCGCAAGTACATTGAAAAGGACGCCGCCCTCGAGCGCCGCTTCCAGAGCATCCTCGTCGTCGAGCCCAGCGTCGAGGACTGCATCGCCATCCTGCGCGGCATCCGCGACAAGTACGAGGTTCACCACGGCGTTCGCATCCTCGACTCGGCCATTGTCTCGGCGGCGCAGCTGGCCAAGCGCTATCTGACCGACCGCCGGCTGCCCGACTCGGCCATCGACCTGGTCGACGAGGCCTGCGCCGACGTCCGCGTCAGCCGCGAGACGGTGCCCGAGGAGGTCGACAAGCTCGAGCGCAAGCGCCTCCAGCTCGAGATTGCCGTCCACGCACTCAGCCGCGAAAAGGACGCCGCCAGCAAGCAGTCGCTCGAGGACACCAAGAAGCAGATCCAGGCCATCGACGACGAGCTGGCGCCCATCAAGGCGGCGTACGAGGCGCAGCGCGCAAAGGGCGACGAGATCAACTCGGTCCGCCGCAAGATTGAAGACATCCGTGCCAAGATTGCCGAGGCCGAGCGCCGCTACGACCTGGCTATGGCGAGCGACCTCAAGTTCTACGCGCTGCCCGACCTGGAAAACAAGCTGCAGGCGCTGCAGGCGGCCGAGCGCAAGCGCGAAGAGGAGGGCAAGGACTCGGACAGCAACGCCGTCACGGCCGACTCGATCGCCAACATTGTCTCGCGCTGGACGGGCATCCCCGTGTCGCGGATGCTCGAGTCGGAGCGCACCAAGCTGCTGCGCCTCGAAAAGACGCTGGCCAAGGAGGTCATCGGCCAGCAAGAGGCCGTCAAGAGCGTCGCCCAGGCCATCCGCCTGTCGCGCTCCGGCCTGGCCGACGCCAACCGGCCGATTGCGTCGTTCATGTTTGCCGGGTCGAGCGGCTCGGGCAAGACGCTCCTCAGCCGCACGCTGGCCAAGTGCATGTTCGACAGCGCCGACGCCATGATCCGCATCGACTGCAGCGAGTACTCGGAGAAGCACAGCATCGCCCGGCTGATTGGCGCGCCGCCCGGCTACGTCGGCCACGAAGAGGGCGGCGTGCTGACCGAGGCGGTCCGTCGCAAGCCCTTCAGCATCGTCCTCCTCGACGAGATTGAAAAGGCCAGCCGCGAGTTTATCCAGCTCTTCCTCGGCGTGCTCGACGAGGGCCGGCTGCAGGACAGCCAGGGTCGCCAGGTGTCGTTCCGCAACACGATCATCATTATGACGTCGAACCTGGGCTCGGCGTACATCAACGAGGCGCAGGAGGACGAGATGTCGGAGGCGACGCGCCAGCTGGTGCTCAACACGATCAAGACGTCGCTGCCCATCGAGTTTGTCAACCGCCTCGACTCGATTGTCGTCTTCCAGCGCCTGAGCCGCAAGGACGTGCGCTCGATTGTCGACGTGCGCATCGCCGAGATTGAGCAGCGGATCCGCAACAACGGCGGCAAGGTGCGGCTGCAGCTCGACGACGGCGCGCGCGACTTCCTCGTCTCGACGGGCTTCTCACCCTCGATGGGCGCGCGGCCGCTCAACCGCTCGATCCAGAACGAGCTGCTGTCGCCGCTCTCGGTCCTCATCCTCAGCGGACGCGTCAACATCAAGGACGACGACGCGGTGCGCATCACGTTTGACCCGCACAGGAACGGCCTCGTCGTCCACCCCAACCACGACGCGCCGCTGCGCGCCGACGGCGCCGACATGGACCAGGACGACGATGACGACGACATGGTCGACGACGACGACGACTACCAGGGAGCCAGGATCGAGGCCGAGCCCCTCGACTAGATCGCGGAAGCGTGGCACGGCGAGCGTCCGATCCACACGCCGCACCATACCACGAGGCGGGCGCCGAGGTGGGCCAGGAGCAGAGGCACCCGACGAGACGAAGACCAGAATCCCGATTCCAGACTGATGATCCCGCACACGCACGCGCAACCCTTCCATGCCATGTACACTAGCAGTATCGTGACCCGCAGCGATGGTTTCAACAACGCACTACTCAGAGACAGAGAACGACCGAACAGACAGGCGTCACCTGGTCCTAGCTCGCGTGTGCGCTGCGCATTGACGATCGAAGCGGGGCCACGTTGAGAGCGAGACTGGGCGTGGCAAGTGGCTGAGGGAGGCCGACGTCTGGCGTTGCTTTGTCTCGCGCGGGTGAGCGAGGTGCTCCCCGGCCTCGGCCTCGGGCTGAAGACGCAAGACGCTCCTCACGCCAAGATGCGGTGGTAAGTAGCAGCGCCGACACGCCGCCTCAAAGACCGGCCGCTTGCCTAGTAGGCGACAGCCCAGCAACCGAGCAAGCAAGCAAGCGTGCATCGGAACAACGGGAGGCGGCGGACGGGCGTACATAGGCCGGTCGGACCCGCGCAGCAGCAGCCAGCCAGCAGGGCACCGACGGCGGCGGCCCGCCCGCCTACCTCAATTTCCGTTGCGCCGGCCTGCCTGCCTGCCTGTGCCTGCGTGCCTGCCTGCCTGCCTGCCTGCCTGCCTGCCTGCCTGCCTGTCGCCTGCGTGCCAGCCTGCCAGCCTGACCTGCCTGCCTGCCTGCCTGCCTGCCTGCCTGCCTGCCTGCCTGCCTGCCTGCCTGCCTGCCTGCCTGCCTGCCTGCCTGCCTGCCTGCCTGCCTGCGCCGGATGTGCGCGCTTTGCCCTAGCCTGCCTAGCCTGCTGCTGCCTACCTGCGCTGCTTCCCTTGCTTGCTTGCCTGCCCCGCTGCCGCTTGAGACCGCTTGGCCTCGCCTGCGCAGCCTCGATGGCCTGGCTGGTGGTGGCTGGCCGCTTCGTTGGCTGGGCTGGCTGTACGTGCGTGTTTCGTCCGCGCTGATCGGAACGGGGGCCAAGGCTGGCGAGCGTGGGCGGGCATCGTCGATATCCCCGCTCGCTCGCTCTTCGATCCCCCATGCCGATCGCGCCGTCGCTTTGTTTTTCCAAGCCAGCCAGGCCTGCCCGGCACTTGACCCCGGCAACAGACGCGGACGCCTGAGCTCTCTCTCTCTGCCTGGCCTGCCTTGCTTCCGCTGCCCGCCCCTTGGCAATCTCGCATCGCAAAAGCGGTACGCGACGGTACGGAGCGCACTTCCGGCGAACCAGAACAGCGTGCGAAGCATGCAGGCGAGGCAAGCAAGCAAGCGGCAAACAAGGAGCCAGCCAGCCAGCCAGCCAGCATGCATGCTGCGCTGACCACCATGACGCTGGCACGGCGTCTTTTCGGCCTGTCGGCGCCCGCCTAGCCGTACACACGGTGCCCACGGTGCGGATGCGATGCGATGGCCTGCCATGCCTGCTTGTGGACTGCTGAGGTTCTGGCGCGCGCGCTCGGTTGTTTGGGCAGGCGAACCGGCCGGCTGCAGCGCATCTGGCTACCGGTGGCCGCCTGCTTGCTTGCTTGCTCTGCAGCTCGCCTGGCTTTTGGATGGCCGAAGCAGGCAGAGAGGGCCCCGGAGCAGAGGCGAGCTCTATTGCCCGCTCGTCGTTTCCGCCACCATCGCCGTCGTTCCTCTTGGAAGAGCGCGGCGGCCGAACCAGAGCAGGCTAGGGTTAGGGCCCCTGCCTCCGCCGCCATCGAGCATAGGCCTGCCTGCCTTTGCTGCTACGGTACGACGGTGTGGTACTCTGCTTGACGCCGCCACGTCTCAAATGTTGGCTCTCTCTTGCTCGCTCGATCCTCGTGCTAGCCAGCCTGATGGCCCACGCCGGCATCCCCTGCGGCGACCTCGTCCTGCGTGCGCCCAGCAGCCTAGGTACAGCACAAACGGGGGCGCGATCGCGAGGCGAGGCGAGGCGAGGCCAAGCCAAGCCAGGCGCCACCTCCCACAGACCGGCCTCGGGCTTGAGCGGCGGCGGCCTCAGGCAGGCGCGACGATGCTGCTGCTCGTGTGGCGGCGCAGAAGGTCAGGGCAGGGAGAGGGACGGGGGGAGAGAGAGAGAGAGAAAAGAAAGAAAAAAAGTTTCGAGTTTGGGGCTCTGCTCTGCTCTGTTGCCTCATGCCCGTGTGGCTTGTCGTCATTAGCGCATCATGGGGCAGCTCGGCGAGAGAGCAGGGAGCGGGTGGGTTTTCCCCTGGATGCCAGCCTCGGCCCACTTCTTCCCTCTGCCCGCCCTCCTCGTCGGCCTGCCCCTCGACACTGCCAGCCTCAAACACAACGACATCATCACCATCACCGACCGTCGCCACCCGCAACCTCCGACGTCACCACCACCACCACCCGCACCCGCACCCGCACCCACGCCTTTGCCAACTCTCGACACCCCCAGCTACTGGTTCTACACTGGTGCCCACTCTCGCCCGACCCCACGGCGCCGACACCACCGAGCGAGACACGCTACCGTCGGCCAGACAGACCCTCGGACCCTCGCCACGTATCGCTTCCGCTGGCCTCGACATCCACCAGCCGCCTTCCACCCATCCCCGCCTCACCTCGCTGCCGCCACCGCCTTCGTCCTGCGAACCCACCCACGCTTCTTCCCGTCCTCCTTACGACATACCGTCGTCATTGTAGCCGCCGCCGCGTGCCCTCCCCCTCCGCAAGCAACCGCAGCCGCAGCACGCGCTCGACTCTTTTCGCCCCTCCTTGTCAAACCGCTTTGTACACGGACCCTTGGGCCCTGCGTCTCGCTCTACACGAGTAGCAGCTCCATCAACATCATCATCATCATCATCATCATCACCGTCGTCACCACCGCGACCGGTACCCTTTCACCCTAAGGAACGCTACCGCCGACGTCGTCTTCGGCTTCCTTCCCAGCGGACCCCCTCGCCCCGTGCCTCCCTCCGCTCCGTCTTGCTTGTGCCAGGCCCGACGTCCAGCCGAACTGGCCCGCGCGGTCATTCCGACAGGACCTACCGGTAGCTTCTCGTCTCTCGACGCCGCCACAGCCCGCCTAGCACCAACTGCAGACCGTCATACCGCGTTGCACCACGCGCTTCGCGGCTGTCCCCCTCCCTCGTCACACCTGCTCCTGCTCTCAGCTGGCCGCCTTCGACAGGGTCAACGTCACACGAGTCGTCAGTCGACTGCAGCTGCATCAACCTCGGGTCTTCGTCGAGCAGAAAGCCCCACTGCGCGCCGTCCGACCGGCGAAGCTCTCGGCGGTCTTACCAACCGCGCCAGCCCGCTTCTTGCAGCCGATAGAGGCCCGCGACATCATCGCCGCCGCTGTCGCCGTTAGAGAACCCTTTTGCTCGACCTCCTCGTCGTTGTCCTTGTCAAACGCTGGCCTAGGCCTTCGCTAGCTGCCGGCCCCTCGTGCGCTTCTCACTCCGCACAGCCGCGTCACACCTCGTCGACACCCGGCCATCCTTACCGCCTCGTAGGCTCAGGGCCCCTGATCGACAAAGCCCATTGGACAGCCGCCACTGTCAGGCACGACTATTCGCCCGACGCTTCTGTCCTTGGTCCCGTCCTTGCGGACTGCAACCTCTCAACCTGTCGCTGCCACCATCTGCCGTCGACGTCACCGCGCCATGACTGACACCGGTGAGTCCCGATTCCGTCCATCGGTGCTGTTGCCGCTGCCGGCCCCACTCCATCCCCTCGCACAACCGCTGATGCCCTGCTCCGCCCTACCTGCTCCACCGTATCCCTCTCTTTCTCTCTCTCTCTTCTGTCATCGAAAACTCGTTCCATCTTGCTCCGCTCGACGTCGAATCTTCCACCCCGCTGCCGACGGCGTTGCCCGCGCCGCTTCCCCGACAATCAGCCACCGCCCAACGGCCACCGGCACGACCGACCAAGCGGTCGTCGCCATCCCGGTCGCAGGCCCGACACCACCTTGAGCCCAACCCCTTCGAAAAGTCGTTCAGCTCCGGGCCCTCTGACACGCCCGAGCGTCGGCCTGATTCCAAGGCTGACGCCAACAAGATCTCGAGCACCAGCACGCCGCCGCTCAGCACGCGGCCGGGCGCCGCCTACCGCGATCGCAACCCGTCGACGCCCAAGACGCAGACGTCGCCCAGCGGTGGCGGCCAGGACTCGACCTCGACACCCAAGCCGCTGCTCCCGCCGGTGGCGTCCATCACATCGCCAGCGAGTGAGGCCAACCAGTATCCCTGGGCCGCCGGCCTCACCAGCTCCCTACGTTCTGGCCCGCTGAGCCCGGCGATGCTGGCCGGCCCGCAGAGCTCGCACTTTGATCCCAGCACGTTCCGCACCGGTTTCACGCCCGACCTCTCCAACTTCAAGACTGGCCTGACGCCTCTTGGCGGCGGACTCTCGTTCCCGCCGCCTTCGCCCAACACGGCCGCCTTTCTGGCGGCTATGGTCAACAGCACCTCGTCGACGTCCGCAGCCACCATCACGCCCAACACGCTCTCGGCGCTCAGCGGCAACCCGGTCAACCCGCTCGACGCGTCGACGGGGGCCAACGGGCTATCCTCGCAGCCGCAAAACTTTGGCGGCAAGCCGATCGACTCGCACGACCAGTTTGACCTCGCCTTCAGCCGCACCTTTGGCGCCGACGGCAGCAAGGCGGCCCAGCCCGGCTCGAAGCTCAAGGCCTCGATCGAAAACAACGACACCGACTCGAGCATCTCGCAGAGCGTCAGCCCGCAGATGATGCAAAAGCCGCTCGGTCCGCTGGACGCGTCCGCCCAGCAGCAGCAGCAGCAGCAGGCGACGCAGGCGGCCTCGGGCCTCTTCCTGCTGAGCCAGGCACAGCAGGAAATCTCGAAGCGCGAGGGCAGCCTGGGGGGCCCCAACGGAGCCGCTTTTGCCGCGGCAAACGCGCCGACGTCGCTGTACGAGTCGACCAACACCAACAAGGGTGCCAAGGGCGGCAACCCCAAGGGCGCCAAGGGGGGAGCGGCGGCGGGTGGCAACAAACGGAAGAAGGGCGCTGCCGCCAGCGCAAATGGCGACGACGCCCAGTCGGCCGCCGGCGGCGCCTCGAACGGCAAAAAGGCCAAGACGGGCGCCAAGAAGGCTGCGAGTGAGACGTCGGAGCAGGCCGGCGGCGCGCCTTCGGGCAAGCGCAACAGCCTCAGCGGCGACGACCACTTTGACGACGGCAGCGGCGACGAGAGCGGCGGCGAGAACAATAACAACGAGGGCGGCAAGAACGGCGGCAACATGGACGACAAGCGCAAGAACTTCCTCGAGCGCAACCGCCAGGCGGCGCTCAAGTGCCGGCAGCGCAAAAAGGCGTGGCTGGCGTCGCTCCAGGCCAAGGTCGAGTACCTGCAAAACGACAACGAGAACCTGCAGAACACGGTGGGGGCGCTGCGCAACGAAATCATGTTCCTCAAGAGCCAGCTGGTCCAGGCGAATGGCGGCGCGCCGCCGGGCGTGCCGATGAGCATGCCCATGGGCATGGGCCCCATGGGGCCGCACCCGCACCCGGACCCGCACCACTCGATGGGCCAGCCGGGCATGCCGATTCCCGCCGGCATGGGCCCGCCGCACCCGGCCTACATGCATCCCGCCACATCCGGCCCACCGCACATGACCCAGGCGCCGCACCAGGCCGGTATGTACTCGGCGCACGCGGTGCCGCGGCCTGCCAACATGCCACCCCACAACCCCAACCAGCCGGGCTACCCGCACGACATGCGTGGCCGCCCACGCAGCGAGGGCGACATCAAGCGCGACGGCAGCACCGATGCCAGCGGGTCCGAGGGGCCCCAGCTCACGGACCAGCCCATGGGCCCGGGCCCGATTAAGCACGAGCGCGAGTGGAGCAACCCGGCGGCGGCGGCGGCCGCTGCTGCCGACACGTCCAAGAATCGTGAAGTCAGCGCCGCCACCATCAAGGTGTGATCGACGGCAGGCAGCCCATCTACCTGAAGCCCTCTGTTCCTTGGATTATCCCCTTGGCCTCGCTCCCTCGGCGGCCGGTTCGGTCTACTGCCTCTGCCACGTCTCAAGCCGCCTCGACGCGCAGTCGACCCCTCTAGCCGCTCCGCTCACGCTGGCTGGCTCCCCTTCTCCCTCTGGGCGAGGCTGCGAGCCAGCACCCGGCGTCGGTCCTCTCTTCGGCCCTTTGACGGCGTGAAGCGCGACCGCCGACGTATAATCGCCGTGAAGCGGTCACGCATCTCGCCGCTTCGATCCGGCCATACCAGGCCATGCCGTCGCGAAAAAGTCGCTGGGCAGCCGAGGCTCAGCGTCTTTGCCTCTGGCACGATCATCGTCATCGCATGCCCGTCAATCTGCCCAGGCGCCCGCGTGGCGTCTCTTTTGTCCCTCGTCTTGTCGCGCTTTCCGACGCCATGCTGGCCAAGCGCGATCGATCGTCTTCTCGCAAACTCGCAGTCGCATATCTTCCTATCTTGGTATCCCTCCCAACCCCCCCTCTCTACCGACCTCATCCTGCTACCCCTCTTCTCTAACCACCTCACTCGCACCTCCCTCGCACCTCCCTCGCCGTTCGTCTACCCGTCGGTCGATTCCTTGTCCCTGATCCTGTCCCGTGTCCATGTTGTTCTTGTTGCCTCCGTCTCCGTCGCTGGCGCCCCAAGGGGGCGATGCCACACTATTTCCTGTACTATACCAACCATCCTCCCGCCCTCCCTCTCTCTCCTCGGCCCACTCGTCGGCGCCTCGTGCGCGCGTCTTGTCCCTCCTCCTTCGACCATCCTGGAGGTTTTCAACCGACCTCGAGGTCGAGGGCGATGGAGGTCGTCGATCGCCGCTCTCTCACCAGCCTTCTCAAACAAATACGAAACGAGTTGGCCCCCACCCACACTTTGCTCGACTGCTGGCTGGCTGGCTCGCTCCCTCGCTCGATGTGTGCCTGTGGTCTTGCGTCGGCGGCGTGCGAAGTATCGAGGGGCACCTCGGTCTGTAGCGAAGAAAGATGCCGGGCGCGCTCCCCCCTAGACATGTAGGACGCCGAGATTTGCATCTGGCACGGCCATCCGGCTCATCCAGAAGACGCGCCGGACAGACCAGACCAGGTTAGGGCCAGGCGCGTACAGTACCGGTCGCCACGCGCCAACAAGCAAAGGCCGTTTGTTGCGTTGCTACCGGTGGCGGGCCGGGGTGCCTGAGCCTAGCCTTCCCGGCCTGCCCGCCTGCCGGCCCATGCATCTTTGTCCTGTCCGTAGCCTGCCGTCGAACCTGCCTGTTCACCTCGTCATCGCACGTCCACCTGGCACGCACGTTGTGTCTCCGGTCGTCTGCTGCTGTCTCGAGATGTTGCGTGCGGGCGGGCAGGCGGGAGAGGGCGAGGCAGGCAGGCAGCGTAGACAGGCCTAGGCAGGGCGAGATCCCGGGCGAAGTGAACCAGGGTCCACCTACGCCCACCGACCGTCGCCGCGGCGCTTCTATCTCTTCTCTTCTCTCGCTTCTCTTCTGGCACGACGGCCTCGGTCCAACTCGACCTCGACCTCGACCTCGACTTCGACCTGGCCGGCTTTTGGCTTGACTTGACTTGACTTGACCTGACCTGGCTGTGCTGGAGCGGATCGACGGTCAGGCAAGCCCGATCGGCCGGGTCTTCTGGCAGGCAGACGGCCGGGGAGCCAGGCTAGAGGACCCACGGGCCGGCCTTCTGGGCCAGGCGGGGCGAAAAAAAAGGTGATTGACGCCAAGGATGGCGCCATCCCGCTCGTTGCGCCTGTCAAGCAGGGCGATCCGGGCAGGGCAGGGCAGGGCAGGGCAGGCTCAGCTGGCGGATGGATGCACGTCTTGCGTGCTCGCTCGCTCACTCGCTCGCTCCACAATTTCCCTGCCGCCTCACCACGCCCCACGCTCCGGGCCTCACGCAGCCCAGCCTGCTTCCGTCACCGTCGTCTCAGCTGGACTTGGGCCGCTCGCACCGTACCTCCGCGACGACGGGTGCCTAGCGGTAGCCCCGCCTACCTCCTCAGGCCGGCCAAGCAGCAGCTTGCGGAGACAAGCCAGCACCTACGGCAAGCCGGTCCAGACGGGCGGCAGTCGCTCGCTCGCTCCTTCGTCCTTGGCGCTTTGGAGCGGTCGGTCACCTCGAGGCTGCTCTTGGGATGCTGTCCAGCAGGCCAACAAGAGAGAGAGAGAGGCAGGCAGTCGACGGACGGACGGACGGGCAAAGCCAGGTGCACGGTGGAGCGTGCGGGCAGGGATGGACGTCGATATCGCCGACATCTCGGCATCGCCCTCCCGTGGCCCCATCGTCTAGCACGATGCCGCGTGCGCGCCCGTCCATCCTGCCGGACGGCCATGCGCCCTGCTGGCCTGCCAGGCCTTCCCTTCTCGACCTCGCCGTTCCGTCGAGGCGGTTGGACGGCTGAATCAGGCGGAATCCTGGGCCGCCTCGAGCAAGATCGACCGGCTTCTGGCGTGCTCGCCTGCCATATGCCGTTGCCGCCCCGCACCCGTCCACCCATCTGCCTACAAAGGTATCCTCCTTGCTCTCGCGGGGCCCTCCCGCTGTTCACTTGCCCGCCTCTTCCTCGCTCGTCATCACCATCTTCCTCCTCCTGCCTTTCCCCCATCCATCTCGTCTAGCGCCTTCGTCTCTCGCAAGCAAGCCCCCGGCCACCAACAGCTCGCCATCGACCCGTCTCGTTGCGTCTCCCGCTGCATCGCCGTGTCGTCCTTCATCGACCTTCGCCCGCTGGCCATTCTTGCCCACCGCACTCGCTCTGCAACCCTGCTCGTCCACACGCACGCTCGTCGACCCACCCACTTGCCGACCCACCAGCCTTGAGCCAGAGTCTCTACAGTCGTGCAGAGAGACGAGCACCCTGCTTGCCTGCTTCGGTAGCCCCGCCTTGATCCACGCGGTCCGCCTAGGTCGCCCCGCCAGGTCTCGATAAGCCCGTCGCTCCGACCCGCTTCGCAGCTTCGACCCATATACAACGGCTCACCATGGCTGCCACCACCATCTCACCAAGAGCCCTCGACGTCCCCGGGCATGGAGTGCGCCCTCCGAAGCGACTGAGCCTCTTCAAGCCCAAGACGTGGTCCACCATCGGGAAATGTGAGTACAGCTGTCGGATGGCCCTTCCAGCCGTAGGGCAGCGAGCGGCATGACGAAGCCACGACCGATACTGACGACCATGCGACCGCGGTCTCTGGGCCCTGCCTTTGCCTACCGAACAGCTTCCAGCTCGAGCCAGAACGCGTCCGCCTCTTCGTCCCGCCGCTCCAGCAGGGACCACGGAGACGCTGCCGCTGCCGCCAACAACAACAACCAGGCCGAGGCGTCGTCATCGTCGTCTACAGCCCCCGAATCGCCATCGAACACGTCGCCCCCGACCTCGGTGCCCCAGTCGCCGTCGCGGACCAGCATGGCCAACGACCTGGTGGCCAAGCCGGACGACGAGGGCCGGATCCACTTTTTTCACCGCGGCCAGGACAACTTTTGGCTCTCCAACAGCTCGGACCACGCCGTGTACAGCGACAATGTGCGCTACCCGACGGCCGAGCACCTGTTCCAGTCGACCAAGTTCCTGCCGCACCGGCCCGAGATTGCGGCCAAGGTGCGCAAGGCGAGCAACCCGATCGACGCCATCAAGGTGGCGCGCAAGTACTCGACCGACGTCAAGCCCGGCTGGATCAAGGAGGGCCTGAATGTCCAGGCCATGCGCGACGTGCTACTGCTCAAGTTCACGCAGCACAGCGACCTGCGGATGGCGCTGCTCGAGACGGGCGACGCCGAGCTGGTCAATGCCAGCCCGACGGACGCCTTTTGGGGCGCGGCGGGCAACGGCCGTGGCAGAAACGAGCTGGGCAAGGCCATTGAGACGGTGCGCGAGACGATCCAGGGTGCTAGCGGCCTCGGCATTGGTAGCGGCGCCAGGACCGTCTAGCCGTCGTCTTCGTCTTCGTCGGCGTCACCGTCGTCGTTTCGGTGGGGAAACGGCTCGGTTCGGTCCACTGCCGCTCGCAGCCTGGCCTTGCCGTCGTTGCACGTACTGGGCCTGACCTGGCAGTCCGGCACCGACCGCGGCTTCTCCTGACTAGAATCGCGTCGACATCTACGCCGCCTCGTTGGCCCTTCACCTCCGAGCACGCCCCCCTCCTCCCTTCTGTTCCACACCGTACCAAAAAAGGCCGCCAGACTAGGAGCTAGTGGGCCCACGATCTTCTCATGCTGCTTCATCGTTCTCGTTCCCTGACGACCTTTCCAACGCCCTTGACGCCATCCTTCGGCTTTCCCGCTTCCGCTTCCGCTTCGGCCCCATCGCATTTCAACGGTAGTCCAGTCTCAGCTGTACTTGTATCTTCCCAACTTCATTCGCGCATGCTCGCACACACATTCGCGCTCACTCACACACATACACGCCTTGCCTTGCTGCATCTTGAACCCCAACCCGGGCGGTCCGTTGAAGGAGCGCGTACCCCACGTCTTGGCTGCTCAGTCAAGGTGGAGAGGAGGCAGGCAGGTGAGTAGTGCGGCGTCGGCGCGTGAAACTCGAGGTGCGTGGGGCCTGGCTGGCCGGCCCATCCGTCCTGGCGCCCCCGCCCCACCCCCCGCCGGGCCCAGCCAGGGAGAGGCTCACGCGGGCGATTTCGCCGTTGGGGCTGGGCTTGTTGCCTTTTACCCGTTGCTCTTTTCTTTTTTTTCTGCGAGGCTGGCTGGACTGGGCCTGGCCTGGCTGTCTGGTGCGAGGGCAGCTTGAGGTACCGGCTGTGGGGCTTTGCCGCGTGCCGCGTGCCGCATTCCGCCCAGCCTAGAGGGCCCAGTCGTCCGCTTCCTCACACGCTCGACCCGAAGCCCACCCGGAGCGACAAGGTAGAGCGAGGGAGCGGAGAGGCAAGGGCGGGCCAGCCACCTGCCTCGTTCCTCTCTCTCGTTGGTCTCCATCCCTAAGCTCGATCCGGTATATCTATCGTTGCGGCCGCCTGCCAACAGCCTCGTCACCACTTCCGAGCCGAAGCCGAAACCGACCTGCCCACCCGGCTACCACCGTACCCTCCTATCGTCCATCACCATCCCGTCGGAGGCGACACGCTCCAGCCGACGACACTGAACCGGCTCAACTGCTGACCGCGCTCCCTACATCTACTTCGTTGCTACCCGCTGCCGTCAGCATCCGCTCACGCTCGCTCGCTCGCATTCCCCGGCGCTCGGCATCTTTCCCGACTCGACGATACCTCGGTCTGCACAAGCCTGCACCGACCTCTCCTTCACTCTTCCCCCCCCCCCCCCCTTCCCATCTCGCCTTCGGCCACGCTCTCGTTCCCCCTCGATGGGTCTCATCCTGTCCACCATGGCGGTCCTCTCGAAATCTCTGGCGACGGTGACGGGCGCCTCGCTGCTGCTGCTCGCGCTCGCCTCGCCGCGCTCGCAGCGCGCCCGCCTGTACCTCAATGCGCTCCTCTACGTCGGCGGCCTGGGCGTCTGCTCAGTGTGGGGCGTCCTCGTGTCGATTGTCCTCTCGCTCGTGCCCGGCCAGCGCCTCAACATCAACAAGGTCGTCGCCCGCTCCTTTTACTACCTCACCGGCACCCTCACCGGCATCCGCTTCGAGGTCGAGGGCGAGGAGCACTTTAGCAACAAGTCGCCCGCCGTCCTCGTCGGCAACCACCAGACGGGCATCGACATCCTCTACCTCGGCCGCATCTTCCCCGGCTTCGCCAGCATCATGGCAAAGCAGGAGCTCAAGTTTGCCCCTTTGCTCGGCCAGTACATGCTCCTCAGCGGCGCCGTCTTTATCAACCGCAAGAACCGACACGACTCCATCAAGGCCTTTGCCCAGGTCGGCGCCGACATGAAGCGCAAGAACCTCAGCCTCTGGGTGTTTCCCGAGGGTACGCGCTCCAACCTCCCCTTTCCGGACCTGCTCCCCTTTAAAAAGGGCGCCTTCCACCTCGCCGTCCAGTCGGGCGTGCCCATCATCCCCGTCGTCTGCGAGCACTACCACCGCCTCTTTGACGGCAAGACGCGCTTCGAGTCGGGCACCATCAAGATCAAGGTGCTGCCCCCCATCGCCACGTCGCACCTCACCGCCGACGACGTCACCGACCTCACCAACTCGGTGCGCCAAAAGATGCTCGACGAGCTCAAGGCCATGGACGCGCAGCGGCAGCAGCACGACGTCGCCGCCACCATTGCCGGCGCCGATGCTGCGCAGCAGCAGATGCCCGCACCGCGCCTTGGCGGCATCGCCGGCCTGATGGCCAAGCTCGTCGGCACCGGCAGCCCGCAGAGGAAGACCGAGAAGCTGCAGAACAAGCTGGAAAAGCAGGAGCAGCAGCTCCGGAAGCCGGGCACGTCTGGCACAAAGGCCGACGACTACGGCCTCGTCACAGAGGCCCAAAAGCAAAAGCAGCAGCAGGGCGCCGACGCCTCGACCGCCGCCACCGCATCGGCGGTCCGAAGCGACGAGGCCGACGAGATCCGCCGGCGAAATGCCGCTGCCACTGGCGGCGGCGGCAGCAGCACCGAGGGGAACGGCAGCGGGAGCAGCGTCGGCGAGACCGACGATGACGGGAACGTCGTGATCAGCAGGCCTACTTCGATCAGCTGAGCGGGCAGGAAGAGGAATGGCTAGCAGCACGTGGATAGGGGACGCGGGAACGGAGGTTCGCGGGGAATGCAGAGCGAGATCGAGCAAGGGTATATGACAGGGGCGGAGACGATAGCGCAGGAGAAGAGAGAGCCGAGGGGTTTGGCTCAGGCGGAGGGGACCGTAACTGACCAGCCTTCAGACGGACGGAGAAAGAGACGTTGCGCGATGGGGATCGAGGAGCAGCAGGCGAGGTTCCCGGACGAGGCCAAGGGACGGCTACACCGAGTGCGAACGCCATAGCGACTACCACTTCGACTGCGACCACGGCGCAAGCGTCTTCTGGACGCGCGCTTGCAACGGACCGCGACATGCGATCATCACGATCATAGCACGGCCATGGGGCCGGTATCGGACCTCGGTCCGTCACGACGGCTCGCCGCACCGCTAGGAGCGGCCCGGAGCGGCGGGCACCACCCTGGCGGGGCTGACGAGGCTCTTCATAAAGAGGCGCAGCGCTCTGCCGGCCTCGGGCCCCCACTCGCCGCGGCCCACCTCGTCGCAGCACCGCTCAAACTCGGTCGAGTTGGCCACGCTCTCCCAGTGGGCGTAGACGAAGCGCTTGACCTGGTCGTGCAGGTCCGCGTACACGCTCGTCGCCAGCAGCAGCGGGAACGCCGATGCAGGCGTGAGCGAGGCGACGAGGTGCGCCGACGCCACCTCGAGCAGGTCGGCCATGCAGAAGCGGTGCGCCAGCCGGAAGATGTTGAATGCCGATGCCGGGCCCGGCGGCGACGCCGGGTGTTCGTGCGGGTCCGAAGAGAGTGTCGCCAGCGTCGCCGCTTGGACGCGCACCTGGTTGTTGTTGTTGCTGTTGCCGCTACCGTGCCCCTGGACCTGGACTTGACCTTGGACTTGGCCTTGGCCCGAGCCGCCAGCGTGCGGCTGATGCTGCATCGAAGAATCGAGGTGTAGGGACGGCGAGGGCGAGGGAGGTGCAGCCTCTCCTCCGCCGCCGGTGCCGCCTCCGCCGCGAGCGGAGGTTGCGGCCAGCATCCCCTCGCTCGCCCGCGTGCTGAGCGTGTGGTGCGAGGCGGGAGCGTGTGGCATGCGTGGAAAAGTGTCGGCATACGAAGTGTATCGCGTGCCCTGCGTGGCGTGCTTGGAGAAGCGGGCCTGGCCCGAGTCGTGCTGCTGCTGCTGGTGATGCGGATGCCGCAGCGGCGTCGAGGATCGCGATGCTTCTTCTTCCTGCAGCAGCAGCACCTCGGATAGGGGCGTCCAGTCCCGCAGGAAGCGCGAGCCCTGCTGTGCGACTGAGCCGCCGTCGCCCAGGGAGCCGTCGCATTCGTCGGCAGCCGGATCCGACCCGACCGCCCAGTCCTCGTCGAGCACGGCGCCGCGCACGTCCTCGTTTTCGGCAAACTCGATGTCCTCGGTATAGAGGAAGCGCAGAAACCAGTAGGCCGTCACGTAGTCGGCGTCAGCGATGCGCAGCGTGCGCACGGAGCGGCCACCCATGGCGACTCCGCTGACGTCGCCCGACGTCTCGCGCCGGTGCGGGCCTCCTCCGCCACCGCCGCCGAACGTGGGATAGGTCTGGCCCTGTCCTTCGCTGAAATTCGAGGCCAGCATCGTCTTGAAGTAGTCGCTGCGGTTCTTGAGGATGCTCGAGTGCGCCCAGAGCACGCGGTCGCGGACGCAGACCTTGTCGACCGACGGCTGCCAGTGCTCAGAGCTGTCGTCGACCTCGGCCTCGACGCCGGTGTCGTTGGCGTGGTCGTCGTTGTCGCGCATGCTCAGGCCGATCGGATACGGGCGGGCATCGGCGGCGGGATCGTCGCCGCGGTCGAATAGGCCGCGCTCGCGCACAACGACGCGCACATCTCCGGTGTTGGCGTCGTCGAGCAAGCCCTGCAGAGAGTCGAGCACGCTGCGGGGCACAAGGTGGGCGCCCTTGGCCTCAAAGGGCGGCATGAAGCTGGTCGTCGCGCCCGCCGGGCTCGGCTGCGGAGCGTGGGTGGGAAGCCGATTCAGCTGGACGGTCAGGGTGAAGGCGTCGTCGTTGCGTATCACATCGTTTTGCAGTAGCTCCGAAATGCTGGGCAGGTCGTGGCACTGGAAAAAGTGCTGCTCGCGGTGGAAGCAGAAGTCGTAGAAGCCGCGCCAGCACCAGCCCCCCGACGCCGAGCCGCGGCGGCCGATGGGCTCTCGGGCGGGGCGGACGCCGACCATGATGGACGTGGTGATCTCGACGTCCGAGTGGCTGTAGTCGAGGAGAATCGAGGTGAGATAGACGGAGAGCACCGTAATGCTGTCGGAGCGGGGCAAGGAACCCTCTGGATCGTCATCATCGGCCGCCTCGGCATCGCCCTGGCCGATCTCGGACGACTGCTCTGGCTGCTGCTCTGATGCGAACGCGGCGGTCGAGGCTGCAGGGTCGTCTGACTGGGTCGGGTCGACGGGCTCTTGGGAGGCGGGATCAAGCCTACGCTGAGTCCTGACGAGCTCGAGGCGCCACTTTCCCTCGCCAAAGACGGGCTGAGTGGCCCAGACGTCGCTCTTGCCGGCTCCTGCGCTGACGGAGCGGCCCCCCATCGAGGGAGGGGGCGTCCGCTCGACCTCGTCGCGCAGCAGGTGAACGTCACGGATGGTCCAGCTGAAAGAGACTAGCGAGTGCTCTTCGAACGTGGGCTGGAGCTGGAGGTTCGTGGCGTCCTGCTGTGTGGTGGAGAGGAGCTGGTAGACGCCGCGACCTCCGCCCTGGTCCCAGGGTGCGCTGCCGCGGGCCTGATGCATGTAGCTGGGCAGACCGTTGCCGGCCATGCGCGGGCTGGCCGTCAGGCCCCCTCCGACGCTGCCGCGGAGACTGTCGTGGAAGTTGTGGTTGACGGCCTGCGCTGCGCGGTGCGAGCTGGTGGCCGCGTGTTGGCTCGACGATGAGAGCGCGCCAAAGATCGAGGGGACGGCGTTGGTTCCATCGGTCGACGAGAGGGCGGTGGCGGTGGATACCGACGCCGACGAGGAAGAGGAGGCGGACGGGGGATGGTGCGAGATGCGTCGCTGCTGGAATGCGCTCTGGGCGGGACGCGAGGATCCGGCCAGGCTCGACGACGCCCTGCGCGGCGAAGTGGTGCCTGCCGTGGTGCGGCCGAAGCCGGAGCTGGACATCCTCGCCGCGGTAGGTGTGGATGCGCCCGAGTTGGAAGCGGTCGAAGCCGACGACGAGCTGCGAGGCAGTAGACTGCTGAAGCCAGACGCGGGAGCGGCCTGGCTGCTGGCGGCGGGCGAGATCCGATGCGGTGCGGCCGGGGCCGAAGCGGAAGCGGCAGAGGCCGACGACGACGACGAGGAAGACGACGACGACGCCGACGACACCGGCAGAGTGGTGGATGCAGCCGAGCCAAAGATGGCCGAGGTGGCCGATGGCGTGGCCGGAGCTGCCGTGGAGCTGGCGGAGCCTTCCGGAGCACCAGTCTGGCTCAACATGCCGTGGGGACAGTCGGAGAGGAAAAGGCGTCGTCGGGTCGCCCGTCGGTCTCGTCGGTCGATATCGCCTGGGTCGACGACGAGGATGGTCTGGCAAGCGTCGGCGGGGGTCGTCGAGGACGTAAAGCAAGGCTGGGGTGCCCCGATGGATCGAATGCCACGCCTGCCAGTGCCAAGCGCAGCTCGAATGGCCATGCCAACAGCTAGGCAGGCTTGCTGGCAGGGTCAGGCTAGGCCAGGGGGTTGACAGGGGGCGGGGCGGCGCGAGGCGTGCTACGCTTTGAGCCCGCACTTGATGCAGCTGCTTGCTCTTTTCAGGGTCCAGCCCGACCCGCGGCTTGGGGGCAACGGCCGGCAGCCAAGAGAGGGAAAGCGTGCAGGCCAGCACGCACACAGCTTCCCTCCACCTTGCTGCAGGCTCGCCGCCAGCACTGCTCGGCCCCGCAGTTTGCGCTCAGACCTGCCAACATCGGGAGGATCCCCCGATCCCTTTTACTCGATTCCACAGCCGCGGATGGCAGATATCCAGGACCCGCGGTTCTGCCTGCCAGCCGGCCAGCCAGCCACCAGCTAGCCGCTCACTGCCCCGAGTACCGTCACGCTGCGCTCCTCGCCTCTTCTCGGCAGCCCACACCCGCCGGAAGAAGTTGGTTGCTGCTTGCCGTTGCGCGCTGTCGGCGATGGCGATGGTGGTGGCGATGGGTGACAGCGGCCAGCGGCGTTTGCAGCGACCCCCAGAGCGGATCGACTCGTCAGCCGCATCTGGCCTTGGCCCTCTGCCGGCCTGCCGAACCAGAGGCAGGCTCCGCTCGCCCTTCAGAGCCATAGCCATGGCCTCCAGCTACCTAGCCCAGGTCACCCTCCATCTCGACTCTCGGGCTTCCCTTCGTGTGGTCAGGGGCAACAAAGGGAAGACGGCGGCTCGAGCTCAACGCCACGTCGAACGGCGAGGCGAGCGCTCGAGAGCCATGCGTGGGCCTGGATCGACCGCGCAAGCTCAGACCAGCCCAGGCCTGGCGTGGCGCTCGAGCGTGGCAGATGAGGATGGCGCCTCGGCCTGCCGCTGGCGGCTGCTGCCATCATCATTGCCCGCCGAGTTCGGATGGAGTACTGTAGAGACGTGCTGGCGTGACATGTTGGAGGCGGGGAGAGGGCGCGCAGACGAGAGCAGACGAGCGAAGCGAAGCGACCCTCGCGTCCGATCCGGCCTGCTGGGTTCGCTCAAGCCGGGCAAGAGGCTGGTGCAGCTGCACGCTCGAACAGGCGCAGGTGGCGGCTTGAGGAGCACTACTGCGTGAAAAGTGACCACCGCGCGCTCGAGCTTCCCAGGCAAGCCAGCCCCACAGAGAGGAGGCAGGAGGCAGGCAGGCTGCTGAAAAGTCACTCTGCCCCAGGTGCCCTGGTCCAGCGAGGGGGTGACGACGATCAGCGCCGCCTTCCAGCCACAGCGGGCCAGCTGACAGACATGCTGCACTCGATGGCTTCACAGCGGCGGGGCCAGGCTGCAAGCTTATTGCCGCCCCCGAGCTCGACGACCAACCGACCGACCGACCGACCGACCGACCCCGCACTTTGGCGTCGTCCGAGCAGAGCCCTCGCCGCCGCGCACTACGAAGCCTAAGAAGCAGCAGCTGTGTGGCCTTAACCCTACCTTGTGTCCGCCTCATCTCCCTCTTTGCTCTTTCCCACCACCACCACCGCCACCGCGATTGCTGCCACCACCGAACACCATCGTTGCCAGCATCTCCATCGCTTCACCCGTCCAGTCTCCCCCGTCAATCCTCCCACGACACACCCTCTTCCCCTCACCGCCACTGCCCACCATGTCGAGCCCAGCTGCAAAGGAGGCGGGTCTCGAGTACACGCCCGTCGACCAGATCCCCAAGATTGTGGCCGACCTGCGCGCCAACTTCCTCACGGGCAAGACGCGCTCCATCGAGTACCGCAAGAACCAGCTCAAGCAGCTCGCCTTTATGCTCAAGGACAACTCCGACGCCTTTGTCGAGTCGATCCGCAAGGACCTCGGCCGCTCCAAGTTTGAATCCGTCTTTGCAGAGATCATGGGCTGCACAAACGAGTGCATCGAGGCCATCAACAACCTCGACAAGTGGGCCAAGCCCAAGAAGCCCTGGGCCGGCGTCGCCTGGGCCATGCACGGCGCCACGGTCCGCAAGGAGCCCAAGGGCACCGTCCTCGTCATTGGCGCCTGGAACTACCCGCTCACCGTCCAGCTCGGCCCCATCATTGGCGCCATCGCCGCCGGAAACACCGTTATCCTCAAGCCCTCGGAGGTGGCCGCCCACACCGCCCGCCTCATCGCCGAGCTCTACCCCAAGTACCTCGACCCCGAGACGAACCGCTGCGTCAACGGCGCCATCCCCGAGACCACCGCCCTCCTCGACCAGCGCTTCGAGCACATCTTCTACACCGGCAACGGCACCGTCGGCCGCATCGTGGCCGAGAAGGCGGCAAAGTGGCTGTGCCCCACGACCCTCGAGCTCGGCGGCAAGTCGCCCGTCTACGTCGACGAGAGCGCCGACCTCTCGATCGCCGCCCACCGCATCCTCTGGGGCAAGGCGCTCAACTGCGGCCAGACGTGCATCGCCCCGGACTACATCCTGGTCCCCCGCAAGATCCAGGACCCGCTCATCGCCGAGCTGAAGAAGGTGCACGACAAGTTCTACCCCGAGAGCCAGGGCGGCATCAAGGGCTCCGCCAGCTACGGCCGCATCATCAACACGGGCCACTGGAAGCGCCTCAACGGCATGCTCGCCGAGACCAAGGGCGAGGTCGTCCTCGGCGGCGAGGGCGACGAGGCGTCCAAGATGCTCGCGCCCACCGTCGTCAAGAACGTGTCGGGCCAGGACGCCATCATGCAGGGCGAGATCTTTGGACCCATCCTGCCCATCGTGCCCGTCGACGACATCAAGGCCGCCGTCGACTTTATCAACGCCCGCGACCAGCCGCTCGCCCTCTACCTCTTTGCCGGCGACCGCAAGGTCAAGGAATACTTCTTTGACCACACCCGCTCGGGCGCCGCCGTCCAGGGAGACACGCTGCTCCACTTTGCCATCGACTCGCTGCCCTTTGGAGGCACCGGCCCCTCGGGCTACGGCAACTACCACGGCAAGTGCGGCTTCGACGCCTTTAGCCACGATCGCGCCAGTCTCGACGCCCCCTCGACGGGCTTCCTCGGCAAGATCATCGAGATGGCCATGGCGCCCAGGTACCCGCCCTACTCGGACTCGAACCTCAAGCAGTTCCAGCTGCTCGTCGGCAAGTCGCTCAACTTCTCCAGGCCCAAGAATCCCAACGTCAGCACCTCGGCTGCCAAGGTGAGTGCCTAGCCGGTGGCTCCCTTCTCCTCATTTGCATGCACGTCGTTTCTGGTCTTCTGCCATTGCGGCCCTGGCTAGCCCGAGCAGCCCGCTGCGTGGCGATGAGCGACGCCCGTTGGTGCCGGACCTTCGACGCTAAGAAGGATCTCTTTTCTACCTGTCTCCGTCGCCTCTTTTCCCACTCATTCCCCTCCCACCTCTGCTTACCCCGTCACTCTCTTCTCCCTGTCATCGCTGCTTCCTTCTCCCCCTCGTCACCTGCCCCTCTCTCTATCTCTCCCTCTTCCTCTTCCTCTCCCTCGCACCGCCTCCCTTACGGCCCTCCTCTGCACTGACCTCTCGGACAAGAGACAGGCGGCCTGAGGAAGCGCCTCGCCATCCTGGTCCTCCTGATCTCGTTGGTGCTCGGTGCGCGGTCCCGCGGTCTCCTGACGCTCTGACGCTCCGGACGCTCTTTGAACCGAAAAGGCAAGGGCTCTGGAGAGGCGGTAGCGGCCTGCTGAGGGCTGATGCGGCAACGCAGCAGTCATTGGCAGGGCAGAGGGGACGCGGCAGGGCTGCGTACTCGAGCACAGGCGAGGATCAAGGAGTTCGGGACCCCCCCGGCCAGGATCGAGCAAGAAAGGAGCTTTACCCTTTCCCTCACAGCGTCCCGCTCTGGGGCGCCATCGCTCCGCCGGCGTTTATCCCGTGGCGGAGCGTCTTCACCCTCCTTGTCCTTGATACCCTCTGCCGTCTTCCCGTAGTTACCCTTGCTCTCCCTTGCTTGATCATTTGCTCGCTTGCTCATTTGCTGCAGATGCCCGTTCCCTCGTATTTGCTGAATCCATGCGGTTTGATTCGCGACTGCGCGGACGATCGTGGAACGGAGGATTGGACGCCCCCCGACGAGGTCAGTCAGTGTGTGTGGCGCTGTCAGGCCGCCGGGCGAATGGAATCCTGGTGGCAACGAGGTGCGGGGGCCCGTCTGGTGTGCCCCGGGCTTTACCCCGCAAGAAAAGGCCGACATTTGCGGCGGCGACGGCGGTGGGTCGTGCGCTAGCCTCGACGGCCAAGAGGCAGGCCAGGTGAGGCAGGAGGGCAGGGCAGGCCAAAGCTGGGGTCTGCATGGCCAGGCCGGCAGGCAAGCGCAAATTGCCGGTTGGACCGGTCTCGACGCGCCTTCCTTCCTGGCCCGGCTGGCCGGACTGGCTGGGTTGGCCCTGGGGACCGAAAGCCCAGGCCGAGGCTGGGGTGCAGCCCTCACACCTCGAGCCCCACACGGCTCGCCTGGCCCTCGCCATCTCGCCTCTCCAGCCTTCCACCACCCTCTCGCCCCGCCCGCCTCTATCATTCTCTTGGAAACAGCTCGCCGTCCACCCCTTCTGATAGACCTACGCCCCGCTCGCACACGGAAACCATGCCCGAGTCCAAGCAGATTGGCCAGCAGTACGGCCAGGTCCGACACGCCATCGACGTCGATGCGCTCAACGCCTACATCAAGAGTGAGTAGAGAGGGGCCGCCCGTTCGCACCTTCGTCCGTTCGCCCGTTCGCTACGGGTCCGTGAGCAGCGCTGATCCTGACGGGCCCTTCGCCACTGCCACCGCCGCTGCTCGCCATGCAGAGGACGTGCCCGCCATCGCCGGTCCCGTCGACGTCAAGCAGTTCTCGTACGGTCAGAGCAACCCTACCTACGTCCTTTTCGACCAAAAGTGAGCCGCCGCCGCCGCCGCCGGCCCAGACCTCGTGGTGCTCGAGGCTAGCCTGCCAGCGCTGACTCTCTCGCCTCTGCCCTCTGCCCTCGCCTGCACAACCGCGCTGCCATCCCGCCGCGATCCGACCCACAGCCAGAAGCGCTATGTGCTGCGCAAGAAGCCCCAGGGCGAGCTCATGTCGGCCACGGCGCACGCCATCGAGCGCGAGTACCGGATCCTCAAGGCGCTCTCCAACTTCAACAAGACGCTTCCCGCCAACAGCGCCGACGCCGTCCCCGTCCCCGAGGTCTTCTGCCTCTGCGAGGACAAGGGCATCGTCGGCACCAACTTCTACATCATGGAGTTCATCCAGGGCCGCATCTTTGCCGACATCCGTATGCTGCCGCTGCCCAAGGACGAGCGGAGGCAGTGCTGGTTCTCGGCCATGCGCACCCTCGCCGCGCTCCACCGCCTCGACCCGAGCCGCGTCGGCCTCGCCGACTACGGCAAGGACCGCGACTTTTACACGCGCCAGATGAAGAGCCTCGGCAAGGTCTCGAGCATCCAGGCAAAGGCAAAGGACCGCAAGACGGGCCAGGAGACGGGCGAGGTGCCCGGCATCGACCGCTTCCTCCAGTGGTTTGCCGCAAACATGCCCAGCGACGAAAACACCCTCATCCACGGCGACTACAAGATTGACAACCTCGTGAGTCGCTCCAGGGGGCCCAGGACAGCGCGGCGCCGCGGCCAGGGCCGAGATCGACTGACTGTTTCCTCGATCCGATCCCCCGTCTTCCCCTCACTCGCGCGTCACTCGCTCGCGCCGTCGACGCGACTCAGATCTTCCACCCGACCGAACCGCGCGTCATCGGCCTGCTGGACTGGGAACTTTCGACGCGGGGCCACCCGCTATCGGACCTGGCCAACCTGCTGCAACAGTTCTCGCTACCCTGCTCGAACCCGGCGGGGATCAACGACGAGGGCGAGGTGGACCGGGCGCGGGAACGCGGCGAGCTCCTCCTGGCGCTGGGCGACCTGCCGCGCGACGTGTCGCCCGTGCCGACAAAGGACGAGCTGATCCGCGTCTACTGCGACGCCGTGGCGCGTCCCTTTCCCATCCCGTCGTGGGAGGCCGCAGAGAGCTGGGCCTGGTTCCGCCTCGCCGTCATCACCCAGGGCATCGCGGCGAGAAACGCCCAGGGACAGGCATCGTCGGCCCAGGCCCAGGCGTACGGTTCCAAGTTCCCGCACTGCGCCAAAGCCATGTTCCAGATTGTCGACAAGGCCAACGCCGGCGGCGGCGCGCCCAAGCCCAAGCCCAAGCTCTAGCACCCACCTCCAGCCTCCAGCCTCCAGCCTCCGCCCATCTACACTTCCAGCGTGAATGCGGTCCCTACCTCGCATCTCTGCCTGCTAGCCAGCCAGCCGACCAACCCGGGCCGACATCGACATGGCATGATTCGCGTTCTGGAAAAACCTCACTTTGCGTGGATTCTAACGGGCATCGAGCGTGCCGTGCGGGGGATCTTGTACCAGATACTGCTACATGCGGGAAACGTCCTCAATCGTGACGTGTTTCGAGACGGGATGGAGGGGGGAGAGACGGTTGCGAAGATGGCGGCTGGGGCGCCGTAGCGTGGGGCGGTGCTGGACGAGGGTAGAACGAGAAGACGAGACGAGACCGAAGGGGACGAGACGAGACGAGACGAGACGCTGGGAGACGCGAGGCGAGGAGAGGCACGCCCGGCTACTACGCCTTGGCAGCGATGGGCTTGCCCGTCTTGTCGGCGCCGGCGCACCTGCGCGCGGCGAGGATGAGCTCGACGACGCCCTCGACGCCGTCGCCGTGCTTGACGCTGGTGAAGATGACGGGTCCGCCGTCGCGGATCTTGTCGGCATCGCGCTTCATGACGTCGAGGCTGGCGCCGACCTGGTCGGCGAGGTCGATTTTGTTGATGACGAGCACGTCGGACTGGGTGATGGACGGCCCGCCCTTGCGCGGCACCTTGTCGCCGCCGGCGACGTCGATGACGTAGACGTGGAAGTCGGCCAGCTCGACGCTGTACGCCGCGGCGAGGTTGTCGCCGCCGCTCTCGACAAAGAGCATCTGCGTCTCAAACTCGGCCTGGAGCTGCTCGAGCGCCTCGAGGTTGGCCGAAATGTCCTCGCGGATCGCAGCGTGCGGGCAGCCGCCCGTCTCGATGGCGCGGATCTTGCTCTCGGGCGACAGCGCCGAGTGGCGCCGCAGAAACTCCTGATCCTCGCGCGTGAAAATGTCGTTGGTGACGACGGCGATGTTGAGCTCGTCGCGCAGCCGGCGGCAGAGGGCGAGCAGCAGCGCCGTCTTGCCCGACCCGACGGGCCCGCCGATGCCAATGGTAAAGGCGCGCTCGTTCCAGTTGCGCCCCTCGTAGTTGGGCACGTCGCGGTCGTTGAAGCGGCCCGGGTGGTCCATGACGTCGTGCGTGTGGCCGTGCTCCTGCGCCGACGAGCCGTGGCTGTGGCCGTGGTCGTGCGCGGGCGCGGCCGCCGCCGCCGCCGCCGCCGCCGTCGCAGCACCCTTGCTGAACGAAGCGACGACGGGAGCGCCGGCCTGGCCTTGGGCGGCGGGGCCGATGCTGAGGGCATCGCGGGCCATGCGGAGGGCGCCGTCCTTTGTGGCGTTGCCGCCGATGAAGCCGCTCTGGTGGACAAAGATGCAGCCGGGGATGCCCGTGAGGTCGCTCAGCTGCTGGTCGCGGATGCCGCGCCACTGCTCGGGCAGCGCCTTGCGGCTGACGAAGCTCTCGGGCGACTCGGGCACCGCCTGGACGCGCCACTTGCCCGACTCGTCCGGGTAGACGACGTAGACGGGCCTCTCGGCGTCGGGGATGGGCAGCTCGGCCTCGAGGCGGAAGAGGTGGTCCTTCCAGCTGGAGAACTCGTCAAAGACGAGCATCCTGCCCTGCGGGTCGCCGCCCGGGTACGCCTTGCGGGCGCCGAGGGCGTCGATGACCTTTTGGCGGGCGGGGAGCCAGGCGTGGAAGGTGTAGTCGACGCGCTCAAAGAACTCGGTGCCGGCCATGTGCGAGGCGCGCTCGAAGCGGGCGTCGAGGATGGCAGCGCTCGACTCGTCGTTCCAGGACGGGTTGAGGTAGCCGACGCGGGCCGAGAGGTCGGTGCGGCTCTTGTAGGCCGGCTTGAGGTCCGAGGGGTACTGGGAGATGCCGTTGTCGATGGCGTCGATGGCCTCGACAAAGTCGTCGTAGAGCTTGGTGTGGAGGAGGGCGACGACGTCGTCGGACTCGGCGAGCTGGAGGTGGACCGAGAGGATCTGCCTGCCAAAGTGCTTCCACACGAGGCCGGCCGAGCTGAGCTTGGTCTTGTGCTGGTCGTCAAAGACCTCGGTGAAGCCGCGCTGGTGGTGGTCGTAGCGGTGGCGCGCAGGGTCGTACTCTGCGCCGACGTCGACGACGATGGTGCCGGCGTCGATGGCGGCGGCGTCGCGGGTGCGGACGAGGGGCGCATCGCGGTAGGCGGGCAGCTTGCGCAGCAGGTGCACGGCGAGGGCCTCGTCGGCGTGGAAGGTGCCCGAGTGAGTGATGATCGACTCTGGCATGGCGGCGGCGGCGGCGGTCGAGTGAGGAGTTGGCGAGGAGGGGTTGGCGAGGAGGGGTTGGTGAGGATGTGCGAGGCGGCGGTGGTGATAGGATGGAGGCAGGAAGGACGACAAGACAGAGGGGGAGGGGAAAGGTGTCAGAATGAAGAGTACGGTGGTTGGTCAGGCAGGCAGGGCGAGTAGGAGGGGACTCTCTGGCCTCTGCGCCCCGAAATTTGCGAGCCCAGACCAGGTGGGGCCGCGCCGCGCCATCTTTGCGGGTTACGTTCTTCCTCGCCTGGCAGCGCACCGCCTTTTGCCAGCTGGCTCGACCGCGCTGAGCCACTCTTACTCGTAGTCGCAGTCGGCTCTGATCGCAGACGCTCGCTCTACTCACCAGACCCCTCTGCCTTGCTCCTCTTGGCGGCGCTAGCCTGATCCCCGGCTTCGTTCGTCGCAGCCATCTCGACGACGACGTTACGGCTGACGCTACTGCTGGCGGCCTTGGCGATGGCGAGGCTCGAGTGCCGACGGTGGTAGGGCCACGCAAAGTCGGCGCCTGCTACTGGCGGTAGGGCTTGCACGTCTGCCCGGGCGATGACGGTGCGCAACGGCGGCAGCGGTGCAGCAAGGAATCGAAGGGACGCTGCGGGTGCTCGAAACGCGCCTAGCCTCAATCTCATCCGTCGTGGGAGCGAGTGTACGAAAGATGGCTGGAAGCGGCGGATGGCAACGACGGCGAGTACAAGGCGGATGATGGAAGGACGTGGTCGAAAGGGCCTGCGAAAGATGAGGCAAAAATCGAAGACAAAGTCGGGCCTTCTCTTGACGAGGCATGGAGGAAAAGGAAAAAGGAATGCCCACACGCTGGATTGAACAACGGACCTCGTCATGTCGGAATACGAGTGACGCGCTCTACCACTGAGCTATACGGGCATAACGCTCTACCAACTTGGCTAATTTGGCCTTGGATGTCGAAATGTCCAAAATTTGTGTATAATAACTGAGCATGAGTAGGTATACCTACACAACGCCCCGCGGGGTCGGCGAGAGGCGCCCCGGTCGCCTCGCCTCGTCTCGTCTCCACATCGACCGACGGCCACCGCCGCTTTCTCACCACCACCACCACCACAACGACACCTGCAACTATACCCTCGCGCCCATCGAACCCATACCACCGCAGACCTCCGCCCGATCTTCGCCCGTCACCGCCTTGGTCGGCCCGCCGACCCCGCCCCGCCGTCCCTTCACGCCGCCTAGAGCCTACCTCGCAGCGCACGCCCCGCGTTGCATAGACTGCTGCGGCCGTTGCTGCCTTATCTCTGCCCTGCTCATATCGCCGCCATCGGCATCGACTCCGGCCCGACTAGACCGTAGCTTTCCGCCGGCTCCTCGAGACTTTCCCTGCACCAACCTCTCATTCCTGGCCGTGCCTCTGCTTCGCGCGCCGCGGATCACTTTGACCGATCCGCATCATCGGCTCTGTCCATCTCCGGATCCCCCTCGCCCATCATCGCCCAGCTACCTTTCCGCCACGACCGGCCATGGCCGCCGCCGCTGCCGCCTTCGACTAGAACCAGAGGTCGCCTCTGCTCTGGTGGAACAACCGACCGCTGCCTCGCAACAGATCCCCGACAGGCTGCGACGGAGCATCGCTCGCCTCGCCCCGAACCGCAGCTCCAGCACCAGCACCAGCACCAGCACCTGCTAGCGAACGCTGCTTGCTGTGCGTCTGACGTCCCCCCGTTCACGCGCCGGTAGTGACTCGCCTCTGGAGGAAGCCTCGCGCACCATCGACCTGGCCGGCCAACCGCTGTCCGCCTCTGCTTAGATCCGGCGCGGAGAACCGACGACGAGAACCGTCCCCTGCCTCGCCTCTCTGCGCACGATCGACCCTTGCGCTCCACGCCCGTTGGCTCTCTTCGCGTCCCGCCCTTATCCACCCACCACCATGAGCCAGGTCTCGAGCCGCAGGGGCGCCTACGGCTCCACCAATGGCTCCTCGATCAACCAAAAGGCCGCCCTCGCCTCGGCCTACCAGGAGCTGGGCAAGGAGCTCTCGTCGGGCAAGCTCAAGGCCGTCGGCAACTACACGCTCCAGCGGCCCATTGGCGAGGGCACGTACGGCAAGGTCAGGCTGGGCCTGCACCGCCTCACAAACACGCGCGTCGCCATCAAGCAGGTGCCCAAGGCGCACTCGGCCAGCCTCACCCGCGAGATCCACCACCACCGCCGCCTCCACCACCCGCACGTCATGAAGCTCTACGAAGTCATCGCCACCGAGCAGTACATCTGGATGGTCTCGGAGCTCTGCGCCGGCGGCGAGCTCTACGACTACCTCGTCGAGCGCGAGTACCTGCCCGAGGCCGAGGCCAGGCGTGTGTTTGGCCAGCTCTGCCTCGCCGTCGCCTACATTCACGCAAAGGGCATCGTCCACCGCGACCTCAAGCTCGAAAACGTGCTCCTCGACGAGCGCTGCAACGTCAAGCTCGGCGACTTTGGCTTCACCCGCGAGTTTGAGGGCAAGAGGCTCATGGACACCTTTTGCGGCACAACGGGCTACGCGGCGCCCGAGATGCTCGCCGGCAAGCGGTACACGGGCCAAGGTAAGCTAGCAAGCGGCCGCGCGTTTGCCCGCATGTGTGCGCTTGGCGAGACGGGCCGTCGCTGATCCCGCCGCGATCTTTTTCCTTCTCCCTGCCCCCTCGCCGGCCTGCAGAGGTCGATATCTGGTCGCTCGGCATCATCTTGTACGCCCTGCTGTGCGGTGCGCTGCCGTTCGATGACGACGACGAGGCCGTCATGAAGGACAAGATCCTCAAGGGCGTATTTGAGCTGCCAGAATGCCTCTCGTCCGAGGCACAGGACCTCATCACGAGCATCCTCCAGCTCGATCCGCTCCGGCGGCCGACGATCGAGACCATCCTGAGCCACGCCTGGTTCTCCAAGGTCATCGTGTCGACGCCCATGTCGACGCTCGAAGAGGACGAGCCTGCCCTCGGCTACTTTGACTCGGGGACCTTGCCGGGTGCCGTGGAGGGCTCCGAGTCCGCTCTCGTCGACACGCCCGAGCTTGCTGGCGCCGCGACTCCGGCGGGCGACGCGGCAGCCGAACCATCCGCGACTCCCCATCCATCGACTGACCTTGGCTCGACTGAGGCGGGAGCGAGTGCATCCGCCGCTGAGACGGTGAATGACGACGACGATGACGCCGACGCCGCCACCGATGCCCGTGGCAACCGCAGCCGGCCAGCATCGCCGCTCGACGACGCGCTGGGCACTGTCCGCCACCAGTCCTCGGTCTCGGGCGCGTCCGAGAGCAGCTTCTATTCGGCCCGCAGCGACAGCGAGTCGAGCGATCGGAGGTCGAGCACGACCGAGGAGACGGACCCGACCACGGCCGAGAGCGGTTCCAAGCGTGGCGACCCGGGGGACGAGGTCGACGCTGCAGAGCATCCCGCTTCTGCCTCTGGGCAGCCGGGCGCGGCCGGGTTGGAAGCTACGGACGTCGGCGCCCGGACTAAGCTTCCACGAAACGAATCGCAGTCCACAATCAGGCGGGCGGGCTCCACCGGCAGCGATGCATCCCATGGCGCCCACGCGCTCCGACCGGCGGGCCGGACGACGACGACCGCCTCTTCTTCGCTGCCAACCCACCACGAGCACTCGAGCGACCGCGGCAGCGGTGGAGCCGGCGAATGCGATGGCGATGGCGAAGACACGCCGATAGCCGCGCGCTCGTCGAGCCTGCAGAAGCGGGGGTCGCAGGGCTCCTCGTCGCGAGGGCACCACCGCACCCCATCCCGCACCAAGCGCAAGTCGATCTCGTCTGGCGGGCTCTCTGACCACCACCCGCCCCTAGTCGGCAGTCGCCCGATTGACTACGTGGCCCAACTGACGCAGCCGCAGTCTGCCGCCTTCTGCACGGCGCTCGAGCAGAACCTGCTGCACCAGCTCAGCGGCCTTGGCGTCGACGTGGGCCAGCTCGTGCACAGCATCTGCACCGATGCGTGCGACGCCAGCGGCGCGCTCTGGTGGATGCTGGTGCGCAAGGCCCAGGAGCGGGAGCCGGCCATGGCCGAAGCGTCGGGCCAGGTCCACGTCGCTCCCTCGACACCGCCTCGCAGCGTTGCGCCTCAGCCACACGCACAACCGCCGCCGGCGTCGGCGCTGCCGCCTACACAGACCGCGGAGACGTCGCCCGTTCCGCCGCCGTTGCCGCAAAAGGACCCGTCCAGACGCTCGCACGATCGCGGCGGCCGGTACGGCATGACGGCATCCAAGTCAATGGACTCGTCGCTGTTCGACAGCGTCGGCAGCGGCAGCGGCAGCCGCCTGCACACCGTCATCTCGCAGGAAGAGATCGACGCAAGTCCTTCGTCGCCGGGGCAGGTGCCGTCGGCCAAGGTCCCCGGCCTGCCTGACGACACGCCGCCGGCGACGAGGACGGCGAGCGGCCTGCCGCTGTCTGCCTCGCTCAACACGCTGCCGATCGCCATCCACGCGACGCCCGAGCACGCCTCCATGACCTCCACCACGCCTTCCAAGACGAGGCCAAAGCATCGTCACATGCCGACCACGCCCTCGTCGCTGGGCTCCGGCCGGGCACAGAGCCCAGAGGAGACCGGCTCCCCGATGGGCACGCCCAAGTCGAAACGCCACCAGCACGCGGACCGCGCCAGGAGCAACTCGCTCTCGATGAAGCAGTTCGCCTCGACGGTGCTGGGCACGCGCGACAAGTCGCCGCAGCCCGAGCAGGTCTGCGTCGCCGGCGAGAACCTGCCGTTCGAGAGGTCCAAGAGCCCCAGCATCTTTGGCAAGCGGACCAACAGCGCCGGCGGCGGTGTCAAGGAGGCGCAGTCGATCGCGGGCAAGCTCGCCACCGCCTCGACGCCCAAGAAGGCGAGCATCGACGCATCGAGCCCGAGCCTGGGTTCGGACAAGGGCCGCAAGAGCACGAGCAAGGCAGGCGCAGGAGTAGGCGCAGGGGCCGACGTCGCGGCGGTCCAGCGCATCAGGGCCGAGGAGGCGATCGAAGCCGGCAGCCGCTCGCCCGGCCGCTCCGGCGACGAGGCCAAGTCGACGCCATCGGCCTCGGTCGACTCGTTCAGCACCACCTCCCTGACGCCGCAGAACAGCGAGCGCGGCTCCAAGCAGAAATCGGGCTCGTCGTTCATGGCCACCGTCCGCACGTGGCTCGGGGCGCACGAGAAGCAGGGCGGGCGCAAGCAGCAAAAGGGCAGCGCCAAAAAGGTCAACAAGGCGGGAACCTCGAGCCTCGGCTATGACGGCCCCGCATCGGCCAGCCAGCTGTCGAACCGGCCCGCCAGCGTGCGGAAGCGGAGCGGGCCCTACCACGCCGCGCCGATCCAGCGGCGGCCGTCCAAGGCGTCGCAGATGGGATCGCTGAGCCGCAGGTCGTCGACGGGCAGCACCAAGCACTTCAACCCGGACTATGCCAGCCCGCCGCACCAGCAGTACGCGCGGCCGTCGACGCTGCGCAGGCTCAGCGCCGGAAGCATCACACCGACGGCCACGCTCTACGGCGACTACGTGCAGGAGCACCACCCTGGACACGGGCGGACGCCGTCGCGGTCCAGTCGGCCGTCGAGCGGCCACTCGCAGCACCTGTCTGGTCTGCAGGGGCGCAAGGGCTCGGCCAGCAGCGGCCACTCGGCGTTCCGCAAGCAGGGCGGCTCCGCCTATTCGTCCGGCAGCGGCCGCCGGCAGTCGCACCGCCTCAGCCACGACGGCGGAACCGTCGTTCGCCGCCATCGCGCCTACGGCTCCTCGAGCGGCAGCCCGAGCCGGCGCAACTCGAGGCACGATTCGAGGCCCGGCTCGCTCAGGTCTCGAAACTCGTCGCCGGGCAGGTTGCCGCTCGAGGGCGCGGTCGAGGAGCTCGACGACTTTGCACGGTCGGTGCAGTCCGGCATCAGCACGCCTCGGCGGTCGCTCGACTCGAGCTCACGGCGGCCCTCGTCACTGCGCCACGAGACGGCGTCGGGGCGCCAGTCTCCCCTGTCGACCGGCACGGGCGGCGCGGGGACGGGAGCCCGAACGCCGGCCCAGGCCCAGCACCACAGCATCTTTGTTGCGCACAAGTCGCGCACGCCCTACAAGCCCCCCTCGGCCAACCCGGCCCTGCACGGATCGCACTCGCGCGCTTCGAGCCACCACCACCACCTCGATTCCAGCTCGTCGTCCTATGGCGGCAGCGGGCCAAACACCGCGCCTGGACAGCCTCCAGCGGCGGGCACGGGGACCTGGCGGTACAGCTTGGGGCCGCCCGCCGCCGAGCTGGGCGGGT